CCCCCCCCCAAAACAGTGAAGCAACTCCCAAAAAAAGCGACTAGCTACTCGGCGGGATTGAGGCCCATAATCCGAAGTTGCTCTGAGAAAGCAAGCAAACAAAGAGCTGGAGAGGGTAGAGATACGGGTCGGTGATGAGGCGAGGTGGGTAAAGACTCGTCCTATGTAAAGGCATTAATATCACGTGTCAGGGTCTAAAAAGGGAAAAAGTGGGGCGCACAATACCGGCGAAGATCCATGGAGGAGCCCTTCCTAGTGAAAACCAACACTGAAAGCCGAGTCCGTCTGCAATTCTCTACGCCGTACGTTGTATTCATTACTTCTTACAAGTTACTAGAGTGGAGATCATGCATGTCCCAGATCAGGAGCCGCACCTGGCTGTGATTGGCTACAACCCCCCGGCGCCGGTGGGTACCGTTCATGAATGCCAAAAGAGGAAATTTGCCCATAAAACCATCGCTCGTTAGACTTCTTTGCGCACTGCCTTGCACATATCTTCTTCTTGGCTACTTAGCCGTCATTAGTTCTGTTGGAATGCGCCTTCCTAAGCTTCCTATTCACTCAGTTTGTCTTTTGAAATTTCTGGCAGCGTCATATAAGACATAATCTACACAGAAAATGAGCATTATCAAAAGCCTTACCCAATCATTAACAATTAAAGACGGATTGAACAGCAATTCTGACCTCGGATTTCTAAAGTAGAAAGGAAAGTCTCCAATTCTCAAGGGATCAACTCTAATGCTTTATTTTTTGGGCGTAGTAAAAGGGCGCAGAAAGAATACGACATATTCAGACCAAAGCACGAAAGGAGGAGAAAAAAAAAAAAAACGCTATGTAAAACAAATTTCTTGATGATGATATGACAAGACAGAGACATTCATTTGCACCGAAATCAAGGTAAGAACAGAAAGAATGGTGTAGAGTTGAAATCGGATTTTATGAGAATGGCGGGGGGGGGGGGGGGGTATCAAGAGTAAAAGAGAAGAGAAAAGAAGAAGAGAATAAAAGGAAACAAAATACATCATCGTCGTCATCGTCATAATTCTAATGGCGCTCGACATAGATCATCACGCGCCCACGGCTTGCTCCTGGGGGTTGAGTTGCGGCTTCTCTTGGGCTGCTGGTATCTGTTCAACTGTCTCTCGACTGGTGAAATTGTCGTTGGTGGTAGTAGCAGTAGTGGCTGATGACGGCGTCGAGGAAGCGTTTTCCAAGATTGAAAGCTCATTGTCGTTATTCCCGTTTTCCTGATCCTGTTTAGAGTGATTCTCTGACCGTGGCTGTTCCTCTTCTGCGGGGGCATCTAATGATGGTATTTCGGGGATGCCGCTGCCTGCAGACATGCTATCTGGAAAGCGAGAGCTTCGTGCAGTCGCTGTGCTGGCACTGCGTATTGATTGCGGTCGCCCACTATGGACCGATGCAGAACTAATCGATCCGCGAGCGTCGCTAGACAGATTCGTTTCGGATGTTTTCGCCTCATCAGATGCTGCAGGCTTGCGCAACTTCAACCTTTCCTCGGGAGGGATGTTCTGCCATTCTGAACCAAATGTAATAACCGAGGCTTTCTTTCCATGCAGAGTGAAGCTTGCATGGTTCCTAGATAGAACTTCGCTATCACCGCTACCACTACCATTGTCCACCAAAGGAGTACTCGATGAGGAGTCTTTGCCTTTCTTACTGCGTTGATGAGTTGGCTTGTGGTGAGAAGGATCTCTCAAGGTTCGTTGCAGACTGCGACGATGATGCATGTTACGAAGATCTCCAGTAATGGACTCCAGCTTTTCGTCATTCTGCTTCTCAGAAGTCTCTGACTCGTTCACCGATCTAGCAGAAAGTTTTGGCGAGTCCACAGCTCCATCAATACCAAGGATTCCAGCTTCACGAAGCACACGATCTTCACCATCTTCGACGTTGGATGGATTTGTTGGGATTGCCGAACTTCCGGAGCTTAAAACCGACGGTTCTCTGTGCAGTGCTTCAAAAGAACCATTACCGAGAAAGGTACCTGATAAATCAGACATTGGCGAGACAGCCTGCTGTTTCTCATCTTGAGGCTCAGATGATATAATCGATGGGCTCAGACTCAACTGGGGGCGGTCAGCTGAAAGAGGAGATAGGAACTCGTTTGGCCCATTAGGTGCTTCCGACGAAACTGGTGATGTAGGACTAAGAGGATTGTTCTCATTTCCTGGAGAAATAGTGGAGACAGAGTGGACAGAACCGAGTCTTGCTAAAGATGTATGACTTGGCCTAGGGGAAGCTGGCTTGGTGGTCGTCAGCGAGATTCGCTTCTGCGCATCGCGAGGCGAGTTATGGTCTAGACCAAGATCCAATGACAAGAAATGGCTGTAGCATTTCGTTCGCCACAGATCCAACCGCACCCATCTGAGTTTAGCAGCCATACGGCCAGCAGCCAGAATGACATGTTCTCGTGCCCTAGTATTTACCGGGGTTAACAGCTGAAGATGTCTAGCGTTCCGAAGAAGATCATCAAGCTGTTTCTGATAATCAAGCATTTTTTCATCTAATTCAGAGATCCTTCTGGCCATTAATTCCTGGCGTGCAGCAGACATTTCCTCAGCAAGATGAGGGTCAACGTATTCCTTGGCATCATTGTCAGCGGCAGCAGGCTGTGATTCAGAATGCAGCTGTGATGTTGATAACTCTGACAAGCTGGAATCGATACGTGGGAGGTTCTGATGTTTTTGACCTTCATATCGAGCTCCAACTGTGGCTTTCAGGGACACGCCCGTATTTCTGAATGTTGCAGCATAATTCAACTTTGCCAGCCAATCATTCATATCAGCATCCGAGTTGGCAAGAAAGACCTCTTCCAGCCCGTTGTGGCGGACTAGGAGGAAAGCATGCTTGTGCCTCTTATAACTTGAATCAATAAGTCCTACTGCGTCTGAAGTTGACATGATAGCATCCGGCTTGAAATCGGTGATAGGAGGTGTAAAAACAACAGGCAACCGTGACCCGCGTCTGTGCTGGTTTTCATACTGCGACATCAGGGATTTAGTCCAATAGAGATCGCGGAAGAAGTACAGTTGTGACGATGTTAGAAGAGCACCCCATTCTTGCCATGGTGAGCGAGCCCTCTTCTTTCTTGGGTCTTTGCGCCATAGTAGGCCAACTTTGACGACCTTAATATCAACCAAGCCGGGTTGCGAGTTAGCCGAGTCTTCCATGTTTGTTGATGTCATAAAAGCGTCGGGTCGAGAGCGTGCTGACACAATTTGAAGGATAGCAGATCTGGAGAAGGCTTGATGTAGAGCTTCAATATCTTTAAACCCATCCGCATCAGGAAAGCTGTATGGATCATCAATGTTCATCACTTCTTTCAAGCTTGGTCGCAAGGTATCTAACTTGCCATCTAGTATGACGGCGTAAGGGTCAACAGGCTGAGTTGACGCTCTTGTTAGGTGATCAGTGCTTGCCACTTTCAAGAGCGCTCTTCGCCTCGGAGCCTGTCTGGCATTGATATTTAATTCATCTTCCACATGGATGAATGGAGTGTAGGAGATATTTTCATAGAAGCATTCAAGAATATCTTCAGAAACCCCATCAATGCGTGAATTCTTGACATAATCCTGCTTTTGCATCTTCCTTTTATTGTTTTTGTTGAAAACGTCGGTGTGCAAGATTAGAATAGAAAATGCTATGAAGTATGTTTGGTCTATGTAGCACAAAAAATTAGCATTTTATCCTCACAGAGGTAAGATAAGAGTAGGTACCTGTAGTAGCAAAAATTCCAGGGTTACACTCATAGTAACGGTCCGCAAATCCTTGCAAAAATCTGTCGATTTGCTGGGTTTCTTTTGGCAATTCCGCTTCCATGAGTAGTTTGCGGATTGCCATATCAATGGGCTCACCAAAAAAAGCAAAAGTTCTCATGAACTTCCGTAGGGCAACCTTATAAAATTCATCGTCGGATTTGGATAATATCGTACCGATCGCTCCTTTATAGACCGTCTCTTGAAGTTTGGATAGATAGGTCGCAGGTGTGTCGTCCTCTTCTCGTTCTGGATACATAGTAATGTTCCGGGAGGCCGCTGATGAACCAAGTTTGGATTCTGAGCGAGGGGTTTCCGGAGCTCGAGGGCTGGTGTGGCCATCTCGAGGACTCGAAAGCTCCGAGTTTTGTCGTAGTCGATTGCTTAAATTGAATATATCGCCAAAACTCTTCCGTCCATTCGTAGACGTCGAATTACGGCCGGATGGCACATTGGATGAAGAATTATTAGAGTCATCTCCATTGCGAGAGGCATCAATGAGGGAGTTCAAGGTCGATGACCGCCCCCGCCGTCTTACGCGGCCCTTGGCCGATGACGCCGAATGTCCTGATCGAGCCGAAGTAGTAGAATCCTTACGAAAGAGATAGGGTTGATTGGTGGCTTTTGGAGATGACGATAACTTGGCAGAAGACTGTGTAGGGGATGGTAGCGGTGAGATATGATCTTCCTCTGGCGTGATAGGATCCGTTGAAGTCCTTTCACTAAGGCCGCCATTGGAAGTTGGAGACTGGCGACCACTTTGAGGAACGCTAGTGGCCGGTGGAGGGAGTTTGACAGACACAGGGAACAAGTTGGCGCGGCTTTTCATTAGGCGAGGCATATGTAGTCGTTTAGTGGGATGTGGAGCGTCGCCTCTGTCAACTGAGCCCTGCTCTGATCTAGACGATTCAGAGGCATGTGCATCCTGCTCAGACGGATTAATTGTGGTTCCGCTTTGGTAGGTAGAAGTAGAGAGTCGGCCGGGCTCTTCATGGCTGGGGCGGGAATGGCCGCCGAGAGCTTGAGAAACTGGAGTCTTCGCATGGCCAGGCCCGCTGGCATTACCATGACCTATTGCTTCTTTTGACGGCTTTCTTGAAAGTGGAAGCCTTAGCTTGCCTTTTCGCACAGACTTCTCCAGGTTAGAGCTCGTTGGCGCCGTCGTGATGATTGTTGCTTAAGAAACTTGATGTTAGCAGGGTGTCAGGAATGCTTTGTGTTTTGTGTTATTAGGACATACGTGGAGGGACGTGAGGCACTGGCGGTACATCCATTTCGCCTTGCGCATATGAAGCTGACAGCTGAGGGTCAGACGCATGACGAAAGCGAAGCACATTGAACCGATTCCTTTTCATCGATGCACTTTTCTCGGATGTGCTAGTAGCAGACATATTGGTATTGCCGCTGCCATGGTTGGAATCATCACGCTCGGAAATATCGTGCTTCTCTGATTTCGTGTCATCTAAGCCTGGGCCGTCTGGATTAGGACGGGGACCGGAGTCCGATAGACGCCGGTCTATTTGAGGTGACGGCGGCGGACGAGGAACGTGTTCACTGCGGCGCGCTTGAGGAGCAAATATCAAGCTGTATCGCTTATTATCATTTCCATCCGGAGAGGCGAGTCTAGCTCGGAGTCTATGCATAGCGAAAACAAGTGATCTGTATTCGATGGGTTTGCTCCGGATCGCTCATGCTTGGGCAATGACGCAGGGTCGATTGAGCAGCTCCCTTATAAATTCTGCATGGCTGCAGTGGCGTTCGATGTAGGTAGGAATGAGAGAACGCTTGAAACTAACGAGGTCCTCGAGAAATCCTTCGTGGGGTGGGAATGTGATGAGGCGGGAGGGTGCGGGTTGTGCTTCTCTCCCCTGACTCGATGTGGACGCCAGCAATCGTTCGCGGGGGGTGAATATGAGCAGGCAGTGCGACTCTAAGATCAGGAAAGCCAGTAAGCAAAATGCAAGCGACAAAGACGAAAAAATGCACATCAAATGGCTCAGAGAACCAGGTGTTGGTAGTTAGGGGAGCTAGGAGGGACGATTAGGTCATCTCACCAGGTAGTCGGCGGTGGTTGTGGAATCCGGGACACTCGGCCTTGAATGCTTACCGTGTTAGAAAGCTTCTTCCAGCAATAATGATCGCACAGGAATGGTGGTAGCCAGTGGTTCGCGGGGGGTTTGCTGTCGAGGCTGGTGTTGATGGTTTAGGAAGTGGTAGTTACCAAGTTCCAAGTTAGTGGCCAGCCCAGCCCAGCCCAGCCTGCCTTAGGCCCTTAACTACCCGGTGCTACCCTCATACATAACAATTTGTGAATGATGATAACTTATGCTCCCTAATTAAACAAAATTGATATATACGGACAGAGAAACGTGCTTATGACGCAAAAACCCGGCATTAGTATACTCCTATATTTTTGGACGAAATGTTTATGATGCATCAAGAAGCTGCTACTAGTAAAATAAACACAAAAGCGCCGGGTTTCGCTACGATAATAGAACAACTTGCATAAAGAGGTGTTCTCTCCAGGGAAGCTGGCAGCATCAACAACCATATTTTTCCATGATGGCTCTGAACGAAGGATCCTGCAAAAGCTGCGTTGCCGTTTTCTCCGGGTCGTAAATAAACACTTTCTGCATGATGGAGAGTACGTGTTTTTTCTCAGCTGGATCAGCGTCAGGACGAAGGTATTCAATGACCGATGCAAGGTCATGACGTGGATCAGGCACTCTCTCTTGATCGTACCAAGAATCAAGGGGTTCGGCGTGAGTGTAAAGACCCTTCCATCGCTTAGGCAGTGGTCCCAATCAAAACAACTGATTATCCCACCCTGAAACGCAAAGCAAAAAGGCAAATGGCCTAGGTAAAGCCCCCCAAAGAGGATCATATAGCTCCAGATGTCGCAGACGGGACTTGATACTTCCTTATGAAGGCGACCTGGTGAACAAAAATGTGTAGGTGGATAGTCTTTTGGGACCTCAGGATCGCCAACTTTCATTGCCAAGGTGAAGTTAGCAAGATAGAATGTCTCTGTGCGCAGACTTTCATAGGAAGCAAACCCATTTTATACACGAATCAAACAACCCGTCCTGAGGTCTGCTCATTCTAGAACCGACGGCGAGGCAGGATGCAGGACGCAAGCACGTAGAGGGCACCCGCTGCGATCGCCATCACGTAGACATCATCGATCGCATTTACAATCACCGAGAGGGCTTTCACTTTCAAGGCCCGGGGCAGCTGATCCATCAGGGTACTCTGGGCGCCGGCAATGGCACTTTCGATATCCGCCCGCGAATAACCCTTGCCCTCCAACAGGGCGGAGAGCCCACTGACAGTCTTGCTCTGGAAAATGGCACTTGCGATGGCCAATCCCAGCAACTGACTCTGACCCTGTCCGATGTTCAGGAACTGAATGCACTCGGCCACGCGGTCAGGGGTCACGAGATTTGGTCCCACCGCGTAGGCAGCCTGCGTGGTGGCCATCCCCAGACCCATCAGGATGGTGTACCCGTAGACGTTGGCGGCACTGGTGTCGACGCGCACGGTGTACATCAACACGGACCCAATAAGCATAAAAATGCCACTCCCCAGGTACCAGAGAATAAAGTAACCGGTCTTGGGCATGAGCCACCCGCACAGCAGAATCGCCGTCACGTAGAAGCAGATAAAAGGCAATAACCGCACCGCCGACATGATGCCGGAGTCACCGTGAACGAACTGGAAGTAGAGTGGGATATAGTAGACCGCCACAAAGAGGGCGGCACCACCACAGGCCTCCAGGACGTAGAGGACAACCATCGTGAGGTCCTGCAAGAACTCACCAGGGAACAATCGCTCGTTTGAGTTGGTCCCGACACAGTAGTACTGGCTAAGCGCGAAGGCAACGATGCAGACGGCAGAGACAACGTATAACGCAATATTACGCCCATCCGTCCAAGGCCATTCGACTCCGCCAAAGACGATGAACAAAATGATGGCGACATGCATACCCGCAGACAGGACCATGCCCACCCAGTCCAACTTCACGAGCTTTTTAATGAAGCTGCGGCCTTTACCCGCTGGACGCGGCAAGGAGGGCAGCATAAAGATATATATGGGCGACATGACGCCAAAGATGACCAAATTGAGATAAAATGCCTGTCCTCTTGGTAAGCACAGTCGGAGGAGAGACGAGAACAAGGGGCCCCACGTACCCATCGCCAGGAGGCCGAACTATCGGAGAAGGCGCCTCCGATGATGGGACCTAGGATACAGCCGATGCCATATATCAATCCGATCAGTGCCACATACATGGGCTGTTCTTTGGGGGTGGTCAGGATGGTGATCAGATTCAGGTTGCTAGGCCATGATGGTTAGTCTCCCTCTTCCTGCTGTTCACTTCACGAGACACACACACTTACCCCAGATACATGCCCGCGCCACCAGCTCCTGCCCACACACGCCCGACAATGATGGCGTTCATATTGGGGGCTGCTCCACAAAGCGCACTGCCGGCGGCAAACATGGTCAAACAGCCGAGAAAGAGCCATTTCGTATCGAAGATGGCGTAGGCTTTTCCCAGCGGGAGAATAAAACACACCGACCCTAAGGTAAAGCCCACACCGAGCCAGCCCAGCTGAGAGTACTCGTCGAACGTGCCTGCTATGGCGGCCTGGATGTCCGCCACGACGGTATTGTCTAAGCCATAGAGCAGGTTGGCCGAGAAGACGGCAATGCAGATGAGCAGCCAGCGAGGGTCTCGAATCCTTTCACCATTCTCGGCATCCCCGGCTGTGATAGGAATTGGTTCGTCTAAGCGACGCGAAAATTGACTTTCGAGCACGCCCTGCTTCTCTCCGGACATGACGGTAGTGGTGGCCAGTCAGTAGTGAGGTGGTAGTGGGAGGCAGAAACAGAGATATCTGCCGAAGAACGTAACCAGAAGCCTCCATGTTGTCGACCGCGACTGCTCTTATATGCGAGTGTGCTGGAAGAGAACATGCTCCTTTGGGACGTTTGGTCAACTTTCGCTGAGCAACTCCGATTCTCCTTTCGGCAACTCCTGAGTTTGATCGAATTCGGCATCGTCGGATTGATAAGATGCGGTGTACAGCAGACCATAGAGCCAACCATGCAACTACAGTTCGGCTTTGTCGTCTGCCGTACATGATTTGGTTAGTGCTCAAGTTAGCTAGTTAGGCCGCCATGAAATCATTCTCTTCAACACCTCCTGGGACTGCCTTCGTGGCGTCGCTATCGAGTTAACGCTCTCTCACAGAATGCATGTCTTCGCCGCCTTGTGCTTCGTGCTCCTTGCCTTCCAACAAGAAGCAGCTGCTGTTCCTGCCGGGACCGGCATCACGCATCCTCCGTCGTTAGGGCCCTTCGAGCCTGTACATTTCGCCTCACACGCTCAGACCCAATGCGCCGCCTCGCGAGGGCCGTTCACATGGCTACGGGACTCAGTTATCGAACGGGTATGGGGTATTGACAGAGGGCAACAGTCCCTGAACAAGCCAGGCCCACGCCCTCAGCCGGAGAAGTCATGGAGTCGATACGGAAGCGACATTGTGGTACGCTTCGAAGTCCGTCGCGCAGATGAAGTGGAGGCTCTATCAGAAGCAATAGATATTCTTTTTTTAGATGTCTGGGATTCAACCGACGAACACGTAGATATTCGACTGGCAAAGGAAGTCGTGAGTAGAGCCTCCCCCGCTTGTTCATCGCCACTCGCCAACTCACACACCTTTTCATCTATCATTAGGTCCCATCGTTGCTAGGTCTACTTCCCCAGTCACTTCAGAAATCTCATACCCTGCTCATCGAAGACCTTCCTAAGGCGATCTACGCATCGCAGCATTCGGCTCGTGGTTTCCGGCACCATGACTTTGAGCGCGCCTTTTCTAGTCATACTTCTCCTCGACCATTGGATGCCGACGATCTATTCTTCCATGACTACCAGCCATTCCCCGTTATCCTTCAGTGGATGAAACTACTTGTGTCCATGTTCCCATCCCACTCAGAATTGATCAATGTTGGGTATACCTACGAGGGTCGAGGTATTCCGGCTATTCGACTGGGCGTGCGCTCGTCCGACGCTGAACACAATCAGGCCCGCAAAACGGTGATGATTGTCGGCGGTTCACACGCGCGTGAATGGATAGGCACTTCCACGGTGGCCTACATTGCGTTTCAATTGATTACCGAGTTTGGTAGTTCCGCGCCCATAACCAGGTTACTAGAAGATTTTGATTGGGTTCTTGTGCCTACCATCAACCCTGATGGCTATATATATTCATGGGAGATGGATCGGCTATGGCGCAAAAACAGACAGCCAACGGGCCTCTCTTTCTGTCCAGGAATTGACCTCGATCGGTCTTGGGGCTACGAGTGGAACGGTGAAGGAGGCCGAGCCAATCCCTGCTCCGAGAGCTATGCTGGCAGCAAAGCCTTTGAAAGCGTGGAAGCGAGGTCTATCGCAGAATGGGCGTACAACCAAACGCAAAGCAGCAGTGCCGATTTCGTCGGCTTTCTGGATCTCCACGCCTATTCCCAGCAAATCCTGTATCCCTTCTCATATTCCTGCTCTACTGTGCCACCCACGTTGGAAAATCTTGAGGAATTGGCTTTCGGACTTGCTAAGGCAATCAGAGTGACTAATCAAGAAAATTATATGGTCAGGTCTGCTTGCGAAGGAGTCGTGACGACCAACGACAGGCAAGGCCGACGTGTTTCCGCTAACGTGGAAAGTACCGGCGGCAGTGCCCTGGACTGGTTTTACCACCAGGTTCATGCCAAATTCTCATACCAGATCAAGTTACGCGACAAGGGAATGTACGGATTCCTTTTGCCTCCCGAACATATTGTCCCCACAGGTCGCGAACTGTTCAATTCGATCTTGGTGTTGGGCCATTTCCTGTTGGGAGAAAGCGCGAGTGATACTGAATGGGATTTTATCACCGACTCCGAATCTCCGTCGACAGACACCAGCCATACTCATACATTTGATCATTATTTCTCCGACGTGGATGAGGAGGAAGAGCTGGATGATGAACCGGATTATTTCTCGGCAGTACAGGATAATGAATATGAAGACGAGGGTTGGGGCTTGTGGTAAAGTACGATATCGTACATATAATTTGTGTAATTAAATCATTCGGCTTATGACTGTTGTATGGCGTTTGGGAAGACCATTTATCTTGATACCATCTAATTATCTAGTTTCAGCGTCACATTTTCATCTTGCTGTTACCTACGTTCGCTTTATGTAAAGGATAATTTTCGCCTTCAGTGTCTGGAATACTTACTTGTCTAAGAAGTCCAGTAGAGATTCACAATATTAGCGACTGACTAGACTTTGTATAAAATGAATACCTAATCTAGAACGATCAAGAACATGAAATTTCGATTATGGAGTTGACAAAGCTGGGTGCAGATTCCCTCGTTTCAAGCCAAATGGATCGTTTAGAAGAACTACGATACAAACTTCCTATCAAGGAAATTGGCAACATCGTAGAATATTTGATTCTACATTCGGCAGTAAATATAATGATCGCTTTGCCTGATGTTATTGTATCAGTATTATGCAGCATTCCTCCGCGATGTTTGTAGGTTAGGGTTACGACCGGCATCCGTTTCCGGCGATGACAGCATCACCCCGAATCTCTGGGTGTACCTTACCAGACAACTGTAAGAAACGATGGCATATTCAAGTGTCAACTGTCAAGTTCACAGATCGTGTATTGTCCTTGATCTCGACCGTTTCCTACGAATACAAGAAAATAACTTTGCATGGAAGCTAGGTCTTCTACAGCAATAACAACAACAACCACAACCTTGGAATCCAACAAAATATATATATATTTATATATTTATATATATATGATAAAAAGGGCAAAATGGTGCCTATCTCTACAAGCAACTCATCTAACCTTAGCTCCTCACATTACCATCATCGCCGGAATTCAATCTATCAGAGCCGCCATCGCCTGGCACTTTCCAACGAAGGGCCCTACTTTTTCCGCTCGCTGGTCTGGGGCATATACCGATCAGGCGAGTATTCAGACTTTACGATCCGAGTCAAGGGTTCTGTGCGTGAATTCCACGTTCATCGAGCGGTGATTTGTCCGCAGTCGGAGATTTTTGAGGCTGCTTGTCGGGGACGGTTTATTGTATGCTTTCATTACCCTAGAATGAGTATATGCGCTAACATTATTCAATAGGAAGCGTCAACCAATTCAATGACGTTGACGGATGATGATCCTGAGATCGTGCAGTACATGATCAAGTATCTGTATACGCATCGCTACGATGACGCCGAGGACTGGAATTATGGATGTTGCGATAACGGCATTAAGCGTATCAGGCAGCATTACGAAACAACAACAGGCGACGAGGAAGAGGACGAATTTAGACACGCATTGCCATTATCCGACTCAGCAGCAGTGATAACCACAGCACGGAATGACAACGAGGGGGAAGAAGAGGAAGAAGAGGTGGAGGAGGGCAATAGAAGTACTCATTATGCACCTTCCGAACCTCCCAAGTCTCTTTATGTCTACGCCATCGCGGACAAATACCTGATCTACCCACTAAAAAATCTCGCGCGAACACGATTCTCAAACTGGGCTTATAGCCACTGGTGGACACGAGGTTTTGTGTCCGCGGCTCGCGAGATCTTCGACAACGAAACGGGGAATTATAACGAACTCAAAGAAGTCGTTCTATCAACCATAGTCCTGCATGCGGACACTCTACTATGCGGGCACGGATGTAGCATTGGCAGCAATACTACTACTACTAATAATAATAAAACAACGAGCGGAGAAAGGAAAGAAAACGATATTCAGAAATTCATGCAAGACTACAGCGAGGTCAGTGTAGAGGTGCTGCGGCGAACCCTCGACCGCTCTCGGATTCGCCAGCGAGGTCTCGAGGTGGATGTCGCCGACCTTGAGTCGAGGGTGAATGCGCTAAGAGTGGAGAATAAGAAAATCGGGGTTTTGCAGAGTCGGAATCATAGCCTAAATAAAGAGTTGCTGGAGATTAGGATGGTGGTCCTTGCGTGGAAGAGGGATTTGAAGAACTCTACTGCTGCTATCGGTGGTGGTAGTAGCAGTACTTCTAGTGGCGCGCAGGACAGGAGGATTCGGTAGAGTCCATGGCGAGACGTAGTCAAGTTGCGATGTCCAGCATGATCTTGAACACCGTCAGTTGATTGACCAGATGTTTCCACTGCCAACAAATAATACAAATATTTGATCAAGAGATGATATTCAGCTAGTCCTGTCTAGGCAACACCACTCAGCGCAGGAATATGGATTACCTAATTACCATCTGAACAAAGTCGGTTAGACTTCCCGCAAATGCCGATCTGACGGCCAACTCATTAGTAATTGTGGTATAACTAAGTTAACTAGAACATTTTCGTCAGCTTTCTACATGACGATGTAGTCTTGTTGATTGATCGGGTGTATTCGGGTCTGCGGTGACGCTATAAGAAGCCATGTATCTTTCCTTGGGTTGATGATTTATGCCAGTATCGTTCGTCAACATAATTTTTCCTTTTTTTTTGGCCAATAAAAAGAGCTAAAATGTCCCAACAATACGTCCATCTGGTGGCCATCGCCACAGTCAAAGAGGGCCAACTTGAGAAGGTAAGTCTAGCCTGCAGATTAAAGTTCAAAACATGGAATGATGCATCTGATCATGTTATCTAGCTCCTAGAGGAAGTCAAGAAAATCACTGAAGTCGTTCACAACACCGAGCCGGATATTTTGCGGTATTACTGCATCCAAACCAAGAACGCAAAGGGCCTAGACCAGATCATCTTTGTGGAGAAGTATGCACTTGGAAGTTGCCGGGTTAATGGATGGCTAGCTAATATGTTGTGCTCAACATAGATATACGACAGAGGAGGCTTTCAAGGCTCACACAGCTTCGGCCCATTTCCAGGCCTTTGCGGGAAAATTTTCAGAATTTCTAGCTGAACCGTTGGATATCAAGGTGGGCTCCTTTATTGCAGGCCATGAGGTTAGGGCTAGTTTGTGATCTTTGTGTGAAACGAATATTGTCCACATGGAAGTGCCAGTAGGCTTCGGACTCGTTCCTTTTCGAATGATTAGTATATAAGACTTAGAAATACCTAGGTATATCTAGGTAATAGATCAAACCTTGGAATTTCAATTGCTTCACACATACTGATTTTGAGCCGCCAGTGATGTATAATAAACAATGCCCAATGTTGCTGATCACCACTCTCCCAGCTCTCACGTGATGACCACCTTTCCGGGACATTAGGGATTGGAGCTATCATCGAGGGTGTAATTGTCGCCGATTCGTTCTGAAGATGGGTTTCCTACATCAACCTGGCCATTGGGGGTGCGGCCTTGATTTTGGGTGTTGTTCTTCCTGTGGGTACAGTACAAATGCGAAGACACACTGGTCACCCGCCTGGAAAAGGTAGACTTCTCGGGGTTCGAACGAGTCAGTCAATGATAGATTGTCCTGAACTAAAAGTCTCGTAACAGCTGCACTTATAGACTACTCATCCTCGGACCGAAGAGATAAGAACAATGCGAGTCGTGGGCATATCCGCCATTACATATTAAAAGTCCGTGCCGGTTAGCTATGTCTAATTGATTGGATATGGAATACCTAATGCAACTTAGCTCGGCTGCATAAGTTCTCTAGTGATGGACAGCCTCGGGCCCCGTGCAACCAGTCTTCTGGAAGACTGGCTTATCTATCCCCCAGAACACATGAACTAATACCCAATAATTCGGGTTTTATTGGTTTTGTTCATGCAAGACATGACAAGCCAGTGTGAAAAAAGCCTATTTGGTGAATCTGATTGACTGTGTAGCCGCCGGCATACCTACCCCGCTAGCGCCACTGAAGCTTCCTAGGCGACCAGCATGTTCCTTCGTGATAGAATAGATTAATTGCTCATCGAACATTGACATCTAGACTTGATTCTCCTCTCCTTGGGCTCTGATAGACTTGTTTATCTCCCCCTTTTCGCTTTTCGAGTTTAGCCTTGGGCATCAGTCGGTATATAGTAGCAGTATATATCACACAGTCTTGACTCGATATTATTGAAGGGAAGAATCGATTGGATATCAGCGTAACTTGTGCAATGTGCCTATGGCGATATTATCGCGCCACGCAACTGTCGTATCGCTCTTATTGGAGATTCTACCTCGAGCACAGTTGTGCTAACAGTGACTTGGAGGAGAGTAATCTCGTAGGATGTGTGACTCGAGTCATGCATTTAACTGAAATTATCTGCAATTATAGTGCATTAGCAACTATTAACAAGAGTTTGGCAGTTACTGGATAACCTTCAGGGACTGCCGGTAGATCGATTAGTTAGTTGATCAAGGTTCTATTTTTGTACAGAAATGCGCGCAAAAATAGAACAGAATGACTGCTAATAAATCTCTCGACTAGCCAACCAGAACGCATGACAGCAACCAAAATAGCAACGAGTGTCTATTTATAACCGTGATATCTCGCAAATTTATGCAGCCATGGCACCGATGCACAGTGATTGACAAGCGGATTGGTCCAGGCACGGGCGATAGCCGATATTAAGTTATATTAACTCGGGGGGCCATGGCCACCAATGGTTGTGCTTCGTCGTAGAATTTGCTGTCATTCTTAGAAGCTAATCGATGCCCCCTTAGCCCGTTCTGGAAGGGATCTTTGGTTTAATCTATTTGATTGGCTGTTGATAGCTCTGGTGGATTTGGAGCTAAAATGGGGCCATGCGGGTAAAAGAGTGGAACTTCACACTGTCACATCGCGCTAAGCCTGTTTGGCATGTGCAGATGATGGGCAGGATTGTCTATATCTAGGGTGCATTTCCTCGTGGAATTCTCTGTTCTTGTTTGATCACAATCAAGCAATCAATACGCATTTTATAATATAAACAGATCAAAGATAGCAACTCAAAATGGTTGCCGGTCTTCGACTCGCTCTTTCCTCTCCCCGCACCATCACCTCCGATATGATCTCTCCTCCCCTCAGCCCAGACTTCAACTTCGACTCCGACGTCCTCACATCTTCAACTCTCCCAGCTCTTGAATATATCTCAGAAAAACTACAGCAAAAAACACTACATGTCACATTACTGCTCGGACGCGGCCGACCAACACCAACCGGTCAGCCAGCCGATCTCATCGTGATCCCAGTGACGAAACTGGATCCGCAATCATATAAAATATTCTACAAGATCGTCGAAAAGGGCGCTAAAAAGTTCTCGCTTGGTCAGGGCTGGACCGATGCTCTAGACCAATACTCTCGCCAACAGGCTCAAAACGAATACCTTATCGGCCAATCCATTCGACAGAACGAGATCCTCTTCACGCAGGAGGGACTCACAGTCCTCAACGTCGATCGCATCTACACGCTGAAGCGACGGCTCTGTGTGCTTACCACTGCTCAGGCAGCTGGAAACTTCAACCACGACGAAAACAAATGCATTTCATCCTGCGTTCACCTGCTACACCAGACTATTACCAGCTGCCAGGGCCGGCCATTCAGTTTCGGCTTCTTCAAGCGTGCATACGAGCACCTTGATGTGGCTGACGGCCTTCTTAACAAGGTTGCCTCTGAGTACAAGTCTCGTTACGAGCAAGAAGGAATTATCCTTAACACACCGAAATCCTCACCCGCGCTCCCTGCTCTGAAGAAAGAACTGGCTCGCAAAGAGACTGCCCGTAAAGACGCCGTCCGCAAGGAAGCTGCCCGCAAGCTACCGGCTATCCGCACATCCGCCAGCATCACACGAGTCCGCCGCTCAGCCATGGGACCCCCTTCAGTCCGGAACAGTCATATTCATTATGGCCATGGTCACATCCCCTCTCGTGCTCCCTCACGCGCAGGCACACCTAGACGCGGAGCAAAGACTCCAGTGTCAGCTTCGGATGTAACTCCCATTACTCGAAATGAGTGGAACATTCTGATTGGACCTGATTTCTATCAGAACAAGCCCACTGTTACGATGTGGGTTCCCAATCCTCCTGCTGTGGCGGTGGTGGGTTGATTTCTTCGGGAAGGAAAAGAATGAATATTACTTTTACTCCCTCCTCTTGTGAAAGCAAGCAAGCTATAGCAGCTAGTCCCTCAAAGACGTCGCTCGAATGTTCGAGCTTGACCAAAGAGGCCGCCGAGAAGATGATTGCATGATTTGCAACACTTGCACGGACAGTTCAGCGGTAATCCTGGTGCCCAAAAGGCAAATTATCAGTTGTTACTGTGGTTACGTTTCTGTTGGCATGTACCTGCTATCTATTAGTAGTAGTCAATACTATGTATATACATAGGCTCACTGCCTGAGGCCTCCCAGGCTGGCCTCGTGACTCTTGTCACAAATTGATGGAAATAAAAATAATAATTTCTATTCATGAACGTTTCAATAGTAGAATAGTAAAGTTGTAAAGCCACGAGCGAGTCGGAAATAAATCTCCGATTATCAATCTGCGCAAACATCCAACATATTTCTAATAAATCTCTTTTAATATAGACGCGCGGTCACAAGCATTTCCAAGGTTACCACCAGTCTTTCTCGGCCAGCAAGGGATCCTGATACTCGGTTCCAAGGTTGTACCATTACTGGCTTTGAATAATCCAGGTAATCAGGCTGCATGCATATATGCACTGTCTTGTGAGGATGGTGAGACCATGGGCGAAGATAGCCTGGTGAATACATAGATATGCACGCTGTGTTACTAGACCAAAGGGAACCCACATTGTTTCGTTTCACATAGCCAACCGAATCTATTTTAAGACAGCATAACTAGTGATTTGCGAAACTCCAATATCGAGTCAATCATGGCATTATGTACAGTAAGTAGCACATAGCCCCTAACCGGCTATAAGAAGTCAGCCCGATAATCAACTCGACGGGTGCCTGTCTCTCTATATCCACAAAAAAACAGACTATACTGGCACCGGAGTCACTCGAAAACCACTATACCAGTTGATACGTACAGGCCGGCTTGACAAGTTGTGATGTGGCCTAAGCGTGCATATGCAGCTTAGTTGTTAGTCGGCGCTTAGGTATAAACTAGCCACATTCCTGCCGGTGCGTCTTCTTTGTTTAAATCGTTCTTTTTTTTTTCGCGTTGAATCTAGATGCCAATTCTTCTTTATTTGGTTAGCTTGCAATATCTACAAGTGCTTATATATATATATATATATGTTGAATGGGCACTGGTTTGTATGCGGCTCACCCACTGAATAATGCCAACTGCGCGACGTTTACAAGCCACGGTTCTATATCACAGTAAGGATGGACTGATTATCAATACAACTGACCGGTAATGCATTACCTAACCCTAAAACAAAAGCTTCCGAAACATGGCACTTGGAAAAACGGTTCGATTTGAATGTGAGTTGGTTCTGTAGCCCTAAACCCGGCCTCTGCTAATTGCGCATGTAATCAGTTCGAAAAGCTGCCAAGGCGCTGTTATGTGTATGTTATTCAACTATACCCGCAAACCTATATTGAGAGGCATATCTAATGTGGAATTAGATTCCTACCAGTCGAAATCTATCCTGAAAGTACACAGGAGCGATTGCCGATTCTCCGCCATTTTGATGCCCCGCCTGTTCTGGCGACCAAGATGTGCACTGAGATTAATGGATATTTTGGATCTCGCAGTAAATATGACGAGAATGAGAGACTGAGAAATTACAGTCTGTTTCTCTCTTTCATCCGTTCTCCAAAGATGAAACCTGACCCAATGTACAGGTACATGGATGCGATGTCTCGTGAAAATGATCCTCGAAGAAGCCCTACCCAATGGCAAAGACTACAAATGGAACGAAATGACTTTCTTAACTCGATGGGATTGCGCCCAAAAAACCCACCAAGTTCTATGTGTTGACACGCCAGACCACTTCCCTCTGAGAATGCTGGATGCTCTCCGAGGCCAGGGCACCGGTGGTGGTGAAAGCCATATGTTGCGGAGCTCAGGCGTGGACTATTTCAATGATCCGTTCTCCATGCATGCTCCTCTGTTAGATCAAGTTGTTGAATGGAACGATGAGTCTGTATGGGCTATTAGGCACCCGATTCGCGTAATTGAAAAGGTCTGTTGCCCTTTCCCTCCCTACCCATTTATTATATGTGTAAATGGTGTATCTGATACGAAGAGCAGAAACGTCCCGAGTCCCAGCCAGATTTTGAGGCCATGCACGAAATATCTCGGCACTCAATCCACGTCTCCGAGGTTCTGCTGGTCACAATCCAGAATTTCGAGATGTTAAGAGAACAGCAGACTTATATGCACAACCAATGTGGTTTCGCAAAGGAGTACCGCGAGCAAGCACATGAGTATTTGAATTTCCAGATTCAGATGCTCAGGAGTCTGAGAGAACGGTCGATATCGAATCATTCGCGATTGACGAGTGAGATTACTGTTGTATGTCCACTCGTCCATTTCTTTTCAAGAGAACAAGAGCACCTACTCACTAGGATATGTATCAGGCATACAATCGGATTGCCCAGCAAGACAACAGAGTTATGAAGGCAATTGCATTTCTAACCATGACCTTTTTACCGGCTGCATTTATATCAGTTGAGTTCTTTTTTTGGCCTCTCTTTCCTATATACCCGATCTGCCGACTGACTAACTCCTGCAAAGTCATTCTTCAGCACTACCTTTTTCACTTTTGGCGAGGAAGGTCTGCAGGCCTCGAAGCAGATGTGGTTATACTGGGTGGTAACCATTCCATCCACGCTGTTGGTGGTTGTCTTTTGGCGGCTGCTGCTCCATAGAAGCGCGCCGATGACACTCGAAGCAGCAAAGATAGCGGCCATGTCTATGTTCAAGAGACGGCGGGATAGGAAGAAAGAGAAGAAGAACGAGAAAGAGAAAAAGGTGTCTGTTTGACATATTTCTTCTGAGATATCTGGATTGTTTGATGCTATACAAACGGGACTGGCCAATGAGAGCGGCGGGATAACCAATGTTTCTTCGATCTGTGCGCAAGTCAACTGGCCAATATATCTATCTATATACTAGATACTCTTTGATTATTATTTTGATTTTATATACGACGGTTCTCTTGTTCTTCTTCTATGTCTATTTCAAATCCAAGAATTTCCAAATCAGAATCTCCCCCGCTCCGGCCGTGTTCGGTTAACCTCCACCACGAACCACACTTTAAACTCGCCTTCTTTATTTTCTTGGAGAGAACCAATGCCATCTGCTACTCTAAAGTAGAAACACTTAACAGCCATCATGTTGACAAAAGCAGCAACGCGCTTGTCATCATTCAAGCGGAAATTCGTCCTTCGTGCTGAGACGCTTCATGCACGAATCCCCGCCATCAAGAAGGTTCCTCTCCCAGCACTTGGGATTATATCGCTCATAGCGTTTATCAATTTACTCGTTTGGGCTGCCTGCGGTGTTGTGCTGGTTTGTCTCTCTTCTCCTCTGTTTTCCAACGCTGTGTGACTTTGACTGAGACTTATGATAGCATTTCTATCCGTGAGTTATATACACTTGCTAGAATATCCAGCCTATTTTCGGGCTATGAAAGCTGTGTCAAGGAGGTCTAACACGATCTGTGTCTAGCTCATTGGTCTCAACCGCTGCTATATCGTATTCGCTGGGCCTGCGCCATGCCCTCGATGCAGATCATATATCCGTATGTTTTCTTCTGCTTTTCAATACCTCTAGCTAACCGAGGGTCTTCTAGGCAATTGACCTCATGACTCGACGTCTGTTAGCAGGTGGCCAACGGCCAGTCACTGTAGGGACATTCTTTTCCCTCGGGCATTCCACGTAAGCCATTTTACTATAACTATCCATCCTGCACGAGACTGCAAGAAGTTCATCCCCTAACTTGTCTAGCATCGTCATAATAACCTCTATCGTGGTTGCAGCCACCGCAGCAGCCGTCTCGAGTCGATTCAACGGCTTCAGCACTGTAGGCGGGATAATAGGGACAGCCGTCAGCGCCTCGGTTCTGATTTTGCTGGGCCTGATGAATGCGTACATTTTGTACAAACTCGTGCAACAGATGCGTAGAGTGCTGCCTTTCTATCGCCACCGCCTTCGTCAGCAGCAAGGAGACGGAGGCATCGATGGTGATGAGGGTGCGCTAGTTCAAGGTGAGAGCGAGAACGATATCTGGAAGATTGAAGGAGGTGGGTTTTTGTTTTCGATTCTTAGGAAGTTGTTTGTGCTTATTGATAGGTATGCTTTCTTACTCCATCTTTATGAAAATTGATGATGAAATTGCTAACCAAACAAAGACCTTGGAAGATGTATCCTCTTGGAGTCCTGTTTGGATTGGGATTTGATACATCCTCCGAAATCGCCCTGCTTGGAATATCGTCTGTAGAGGCGAGTCGCCAGTCAAACTTTTGGGTGATTCTCATTTTCCCCATTCTCTTCACTGGTAACTATATCCTTGCCCCGTTACAATTTCGATTTCTCTCTTGATCCCCTTTTAACGGAGTATCTCTACAGCCGGAATGTGTCTCATTGACACAACGGACGGTGCTTTGATGCTGTCTCTCTATGTCCAACCCGCCGCAAACTTCCTACCCTCGACCCCAGCAGTAGAGACACAGGCAGGACCAGCCCCTGAGACAGAACAAGTCTCAGGCCAGTTCCTGACAGAGTCCTCTCCACCGGGCATCAGTGACGAGAATGGCAACCAACAATGCCCCAGCCCACAAAATACTGATATTACCAACTCTAACAACGGCAACGACAACCAGCGCGACCCAGTGGCCTTCCTTTACTATTCCATCGTCCTAACAACACTAACCGTGCTGGTAGCCCTCGTCATCGGCATTCTGCAGGTATTGAGTTTAGTATGGAACGTCACGGGTCTCACAGGTCCGTTCTGGCACGGAGTTGAGATTGCAAATGATTATTATGATGCCATTGGAGGTGGCATTTGTGGCTGTTTTGTTATCGTCGGTACAATGAGTGTTGTTTGCTATAAGCCGTGGAGGAGGTGGGTTGGCATTGACGGTGATGTCGACAATGCAACAACATCGACAGATCTGGAACGGCAAGCGAACAGTGCTGGTGAGAAGGGATGTTTTAGTGCAGGAGGAGTTTGTGATAAAGACGGGTCTGCAATTGTTTCTCAGTTAGATGCGAAGGTGTGATGTTGTCATGATTTATGTTCGCTATTCAGGCATCCATTCCTCTGATTTCGGTATTCATCACTCGTTCATTCATACCCAGATTTATATACGTAAGAAGGTGCGCATCACAGCACTATTCCGTCTCTCTTCTTTGTGATGATGAAGTTGCGGAGCAAGAAGACCATGTGTTAATGCAACTTTCGACATGGGCTCAAAGGGATTGTAGGAAATTTCAATTTTTAGCTGATTATTCCTTGCTTTCCCTGTTCTTTTTTGTTTTGGAGACTTCGTGTATTTTGCACATTAGCTTCATTGAATTGAAGATAGACGTTTAGACAAAGGCTAAACTTTTACTACATTGTAAAATGAAGGGATTAGATCGAAACTTTCATGTTATTGGCACCGTATTAATGTCACTACCTAGTTGTTTCCTTAGTCGAGAAGAATCTTCATCAAGCCCTCAATATCCTTCACGGAAACCTGTTTTTTCTGTTCACGAGAAAGAGACACAGCACATGAGACTATGTTTTTGATCTGCAAGTGATTTGTTAGCTAGACTCGATTTGACGATGTTCTTTTCGACCTGAACGAACCTGTCGGCCATTCAAAGCATGCTTTGACAATGTCGCAAAATCATCTTCAGTGACTTCAGATAGCTCCGATGTTTTGGCAACTTTCGTTAAGAAATTCTTCCAAACTTTCCGTCTGCTATCAGCGTCTAGATCTGGGTAGTGAATTGTGAAATGGATACGACCTATCATTGTACTTGGTGATTAGCTGCTATACGAAAATCCGATAGAGCACACACGCACTTTTGAACGCGTCATCAATTTCACTCTTTCTGTTCGTGGTGAGGATGGCCACGCCGCGGAAACTGAATGTGTCAGTGAGGTTGAAGTACTTGGATTGGGAATGAAGCTCACTATTCGAGACGGCGAAGAAAGATGCTTACTAGAGCATCACGATTAAGGTCCTTTCCACGAGTCGCGAGGAAAACATCTGCTTCGTCGATGAGGAGGACACACCCCCAGCGTCGCGTTATATCCAGTATCTTCTCAAGACGGCGGTCCACAGTGTCAGCATCGACGCCCAATTCTCCAGTTGCAACTACATAGAGCGGGCGTTGCGTGACCTCAGCCACAGCCTCTGCTGTAAGTGTCTTTCCGACGCCAGGCGAGCCTGTCAGCAACGCAATGAGACCTTTGCCTTTGTTTTCCACGATGTCATCGAATCCCGTTTCACTGTGACGGTGAGCTTTAACAAGGCCGTGGATAAGTTGTCGACGGTTCTCTTCCATGACAAGACTCTTGAAGGCATCCCCATTCCACTCGATTTCCTGAAGCGGCGTCACATCAAGTTGACACCAGGTTTTGTGCTCAAAGCTGAACCCGTTGACCCATGAAGCACAGATCAGCAAATCCTGATCTGAAAGACTTGTGCGACTCAATATATCTTCGCTATAAATCCAAGGCGTGTTCAGTGCAGAACTGCTATTGTGGAGATAATACCCTTCCGGGTCAGCCATAACTCTTCCTTTGGCCTGTGATACCATGTTGTTAGTACTATGATTGATAATAACGGTGTCAAGCTTACGTTGAACATCTCCGACTTGAACTTTCCATCGGGCTGAATGATTTCCTTGACTGCATACGTGACTGGATAATCTCTGCATGCGGGCTGGTCGAGCAAGGAGAGGTACTTTCGCCCTCTGGCCATCAGTCTTTCTCGCGTGGCATCCTCATCCGGATGGTACACGAGAGGATAAAAGCTCAAACTTCGGATTTGTCGAGAGCCGTCATACTTATCAATTTCCAGGCTGATCGTTCCCTTTCCAAAATCCTGCCCATCAAACTGGACAATTTGGCCCACCGCAGAAAAGTACCATGAGCCATTGGGACGCTGCTCATATCCAGACTCCTGAAGTCTGAAGGCCTGTTCTATATTCATGACACCGTATTTTGGTGAAATTGATGGGGTTTTGGGAGGGAAGATCGCCCAAAGTAGATCCCAAGTAATCTGGTTCTCCTTGATAAGAGACTCGAGACTGGCAATCTGACCGGAGTAATCCTCTTCAACGAAACGCAAGGCAGTTCCAATGTCGTCGATAAGCTGTTTGTTGGGTTGGCTCTTTGACTTTTCTTCTTCCTTGATACGCAGCAGGCTTTCTGCAGCCCAAAATATAAGTTCCGGTTTGGCCTTGAAAGAAAGGGTCGTCAGCCAGCCCATCCACAGATCCTGCCAGAAAAAGAAAAAGGGGGAGGGTATACACACCACTGGCGGTGTCTTGTTTAATTCGAGCCCATCGACACCTTTGTACAGTTCTCGAAAGACTTGCTGAAGGGGCGGAGACCGAATATCGATTTCCGTGTGCGAGACGATGCCCTGCTTGGAGATGATACGGCGCACAACCATCGCGGTTTTACTGAAACGATCCGGCTTGGAGGAGGATTTCGCGGTCTTGACAAAATGAATTTGTCGTTCCTTTCTGTCACGACTCTTAGTAGGAATTCAACCTGCGATAAACGACATGATCGATCTTCTTACCTGCTATATCTGTGTATTGGAAGAAAAGCTCAAGTCAGCTGCTCGGCACATCAACTTCCGGTTTTGCTCACATCTGATCAACGCGGAGCAATCGCTGCGTTTTGTTGCTACTGTCCGTCATGACTCTTTGAATTGATGTCCTCGCCGGCGCATCTGGAGTGGGCTTTTCCTGCTCGGCCATGATTGCTGCCCTGTATGTTCACTAGTCAAGGCTCAAGGCTTTCTTTTCGCAAGAAGCAAATGACAATGAGACTGATGAAGCTGTGGAATGCGGAAAATAAACTACTATTTCTAAGCAATATGGGCTGAGAAACAGCTATCACTAGCCTCGAGATCACCTCCCCCTCTTTTAGTATCATCAACTTCACAATTCACAGTTCACGATTCGTCAGCTCATGCGTGGCGCCTGATGTCTAGTCCTATTCCAGACATTGATACTGCAACTAAGCCAGAGCCGAGCGACTCTAGTGCGGCGATCAGACTCTTTCCCGAGCAGGCTGCAGCCTCGTATGGAGTGTATGCCCAAACCTATTGCTTGAATCCTTCTGTTGTTTCGGGTCTATTGGCCCAGGTGGGCAGCACTGCCGGACGGGCTGGAAATACCTACTGAATATGCACAGGGCACATTTTGATTGTGAAGAAAACCAAGTTCCTTCAGAATGCCGGCATCTGTAGCAGTTCCGTCAGCGTTCAGTCTTGCACTCGAGAATTATATTCAGTCCAGGCCGAAAAAGAGCAAAACACCCCAATTTCTACAAAAGCTACAACAGCAGCAGCAGCAGCAACAAGTAGTGATCGATGCGAATACCATCTCGCAGGATTTGATTCAGTTGCAACGCGATGCGACAGACAGCAAAGCCGCGAGCATAGCTCGCAAAACCCTGAAGCCAGTGGTTTCTATCCTCTCTACGTATTCTGGCATTGTTGATACCTTAATACAAGTGGACCCCATGCCAACAGCTATACTATGGGGTTGTTTGAGGGCGGTTATCGATACCTCGAAGCGATTTCTCGATCTCTACGACAAGATTGCTGATCAACTTGAGCGGCTGGGCACTCATCTTGATATTCTCACCGAGTATGAATGGCTGTTCCCGGATTCATCTACGATGCAGAAACTTCTGCAAAAGTCGTACATCGATATTATTCGCTTTTGGGTACGGGTTGAGAAGGAATGCAGCCGCTGCGTCGCTAATCGACTGACTCGCGCGGTGGCTCCATTCAGCACGACCAAACTCGATGGGATCATTTCGAAAATTGGCGAGAGTGCCGATGCAATGACGCGGGTCATTCCAGTCGTGCAGGAACGGCTTCGAAGACGAGAAGCAGAAGATGTTGCCAAGGAGCGTGAATTGGCTGGCCTTGCAAGGGAAGAACAGGCCGACTTCATCCAGCGGTATGAAGCAAGATACGCAGAGAAGCTGAAAGAACTTGAAAAGGAACAGAAACGGCAGAGGCAGAGAGATGTGCAGAACTGGATCCGTGCAGGAGAACCACCTCTCAACGTGAGTAATTTCCGCCATCACGATGAAAAATGTGGCGAGCGAAGCCCCAGCACATGCCAGTGGCTCTTTGAAGACGGCATCGTAAAGAAATGGGTCAACAGTCAGAGTTCAGCTTCTCAGCTGTGGGTGAAAGGGGCCCCTGGCGTTGGAAAATCCGTCTTGACGGCGTATGCGATTGAGAAGATTCCCGAGATCTGCAATGACAAGCCAGCTGTCGTTTACCAGTATTTTACGTTCGACGAGGAATTCCCGACTCTTTTGGTATATCGAAGTCTTGCAGAGCAACTCATTAATCAACTGGGGAAAGTCGCGGATATGCCGGAGGATATACACGCATTCACTCAGCGCGGCGCTACACCTTCTAAAGCTGGGGATGTCAAGACGGTGATTAGTATGCTGGTGAATAAGCTTCCCGTGTCATATGTTTTTCTTGATGGTCTAGACGAGGAGTGTACGCAAGAGTCAAGGAGGAAGCATCTGGATGATATACTGGACTTCTTCCAGGACCTTGCCAACAAAACACCCAGCCGACTTCGCCTGTGGTGTTGCTCACAGACTCATACCTGTCTTGACAACCGGTTCGAAAGCCAACCGTCGATTGAGGTCACAAAGAGTCTCAACAGTCAAGATATAGAGACGTATTTGGCGCGCAAGATCACAGTCTTGAACCGATTGCCTCTTGATACGGGATACAAAAACCTAATTCTTAAGGATCTCCGCGAGAAGTCAGATGGATGCTTTTTATGGGCTTCTTTGATGTTACATTCCATGTCAAAAGCTGCAACACTGAATATGGTGCAAGAGCTTATTGAGGACGGCCTACCCGGTGACTATGAAAAGTATTACCGCCGAAAGATGGAGGATGTTGACCCCTCGCTTCGAGGGTTTGTCGCGTACGTAATGATCTACAATTCTTCTGAAATGAAAAAAAGAAGCCCGCTTACAATGTCTACAGAGTCCTTCTTGCTTGCATTGTCCATGCAAGGCGACCGTTACGTCTCGACGAGCTCTGTGAATGTACGGCTATGGCCAAGGGACCAGCAGGGCACGACATTGATAGAAACGAAAAGCTCGTGAAGGATATGGTTCTGGAACTATGTCAGCCCCTTGTCAGAATCCACGAGATCCAAGAACCAGATGGAGGAAAGGTCAATGTTTGCACTCTGACACATGGTTCTGTGAAAGCGTTTCTGTTGAGAAATGCTCAGATCTTGGAGCAGGATAATGCTTGTGCTCTCACAAACGATGTCATGGCAGATATATGTCTGAAATATTTACTACAGCCTCGATATCAACAGCTATTGACCAAGAAAAACGATACATTTGTTGACCTTCATGACGACGACATTATGGAGCACCATCTACTCCCCTATGCGGCTAAGTACTGGGATAAACATCTTGACGATGTGGAGTTTTCTTCAGAGTTCAACCAAAAGGTCACACAGCTCGTTACCAGTTCTCAATTTTTCACGTTGTTGCAAATCCAGAGTTTGCTTGTAGAAGGTTGGTTCTTATGTTCACCAACTAAGCCAAACTTGAATACTAGCTAACATATGTCATGGTGCCTCTCAGGCCAGTTTCGATTTTGGTATAACTCTTTCCGCCCCTGGGCTGGAAGACATATCAGGCGCGTCTTCCCTCAATGGTTTGAAGATAATTGTGATGGGAACTGGAAAAGAGACTATGCGTTATTTGTGGGCGAATGGGGTGAATTACTTGACGAAGACACCAGTATTAGGGGCGCTTACGAAGGTCAGATCGACAGATGCTTTTTCAGGGCGCTTGGATCGCATAATTTCCTCCATCTGGGACCGAGTCGATATAAAAGTTTAGCATTCTTCTCCGAAGATAGTGCAACAGCTGAACCACCTATTCGTTGCTTTGATGGCGTGGATGAAAGGGGAGAATTGTTAATGCTTCTGAAGCTCGAGAATCTGTAAGCCAGCAAAAGATTCCTTCCTTCCAATGGTTTCATACATAACCCTAATACACGATGCCCGCAGCAGTAGCGAGAAACTTGAGCTGCGATGTGAGCGCTGGTCTCTGAGTGGACAACAGCCTAAATTTCAGGGCTTTCAGACTCTCTATGCCTCTTCTTCGAGCTGGCCCCTTTATGAGTACCCATTGTCCGAAAAGATTCCGGGGCGGCCTCGTCTAGTGTCTTTTACTACGGACTTGCAGTTTATGCGCATTGGATCACAGGTGTTTTCCAAGGGAGAAGACGACGAATACATTCCTCTGGCCGCAATCGGTTCGGGAAACGAGTATTTTGAGGAGATGGCTAGCAACGGTCACTTTATTGCGATATCAGCAAGACGTCTGATGTCAAGAGCTGATATAAGAAACCTAGATGAGGCCGACGGTAGCAAAGAGGCGGTTCTTGATTACGCAGAAATCATGAATAAAGCGGAAGAACTCGCGATACAGGCGTTGGATCAAATCACAGCTTCTGCATCCTCGGAGAGCAGCCAACCGTCAACCACTGCGACAGGATCTAGCGACACGGACAAAGCTACTAGTGTTAGTTCTGCTACATCTTTCAATGTGGAAGAGCCCGAGGACTTTGTCCATGACTCCCAGCTAGAGGAAGACAAGATGTTAGATGCGAAGTCGGAGACCGGGCAGACAGATGAGTTTTTGCATTCGTCGTCGAACTCGATTAGTAGCAATACGGCTTACACTTCTTGGAGCGAAGCTTCTTCGGAATTGATGTCCGATGAAATGGAAGACGAGGACCAATGGAACGATCAGCCGCTGACGCTCGAAGAACTCGAGCTTGAGAGGCGAGAAGGATCTTTAAGTGGTGACTCTGAAGGCGACGATGATGGGGAGAATGCTAATATTCTGCTACTGGATGCTGAAATTAGAAGCTCCTTCTCTGATATGGATGATGACGAAGATCCGAACAAGCGAGATGACCTCAAAGAGATGTACTCGGAGGCTGATGAAAGTTCTGGCGTGGAAAGCCACTATTCTTCTAGCAACTACAGCTTTTCCGATAGCAACGATGGCTCCGAGAACGAAGATGGCGCTCTGTTTGAGGAGATGATGGTCAATAACAAGACAACCAAGGCTGACGGGACTAGACGAGTTACCCTCAGGATATACGATTCGGCCAAGCTCAACCATCAAGATCCCGTGTTCCACTACAGCTGCTACATCAAGGCCCGTTTGTTTGACTCGCCGCCGGCATTTCACCCATCGAAACCACTCTTGGTCTGGCCATTAGGTGACGGGGAGATTTTGTTTGCGAACTACGAGACCAAAACGTACTATACGCGAGAGTTGTGCCGCTCACAATCTCGTAGCTGCCACGTATCTATCAAGGCACATTTCTCACGCGATGGCCAGTATCTGCATTTCGCCGCCTTGGAAGCCTCCGAAGCAGTCAAGGAAGAGGGAAGTCAACCGCATAAAGTGCTATTGCGTCTCCAGCTTTCAACCCATAGGCTATCAATACAGAAGACAGCAAGAAGTCCGCCTCGATTGGTATTCCGCACGACCGTCAACCTCGGCAGTGTCTCCAAAATCCCCGTGTCCAATCTTCCTTACTCTCTGACCTGGACAGACACGGAGCTTTTCTTTACCATTCGCGGTAGAAAGCTTGATGTGATTCGAATTCCCCTCTTTCGCTCTCCTGTCGGCAAAAGTTCAGAAGAAGTCGTCTACTACCTCAAGGATCCGATCTTCCTTCCACGTTCAGCAGATGTACGAAACACGTACCTCTTTCCTGATCTGAGCCCTGCTACTATCACTACTCAAAGCACGAGTAAGAAAAAGGATAGGAAGACAACTTTGATCCTCGGGTCATACTGCAGTCTTCCCAACCAAGACTTTTCGGTTCCTAGAAGTATGAGTTTGCCTCCAATGGCTGTGTATCTACGGGAAAATAATGATTTGGAATGGACCCGGTGCACGACAAGATACAATGAGACCTGTACTACGCCGAAGCAGCCAGTGAACAACGCATGCGGGAGGCTCAAGGGGAAGTTTGAATCTTTCGATCTCAAGGAAGACTGTGACATTGTGCCTTACCTGTCTTAGCAAGAAGCCTATCCCAACTTTCTTCATCAGGATGGCTTTCAATTTTGTTTCACGGCCTTGGCGCACATAATTGGAATGAATATATCTTCAACTTCCAGCGCTACTACTAAATATATGGTTACCATCAAGTTGGGCTATGCTGATAACAAGAAGTAATGCGTAGAAACAGATACCAACCTCAAGTAGTAGGACCTTCTCAACCGGTCAATAACTTCCACCATAATGTGGTCTGTCCCATCTTGCCTCCTTCTTCTTCTCCTCGGGCTCACTCCGATCATCAAAATACTGCACTCTCTTCTCCTCGGTGAGAACACGTAGGTCGAAATCCTCTCTATAATCAATCGTAGTCCCATTAACTGAAACATACGGTCTCGTATCATGCTCTCCATCCCACTTCGCGCGCCAAACTTTTCTCTTCCCTTCTGTGCTATCAGCTAGCTCTTTGAGATCCACGACATCGACCTCGCCCACACCACCGAATGTTAGGCATCGCACTCCACATTTTGGACAGAAGTAGTATTTGCGTTTCCTGTCGTGACATTGGTAGGTACTCAATTCAGTATCTGGATCGAGTGGTGAAAGAAGCATGAAATCGTCCTGTGGGTTGGCCGGATGAACATGGAAGAAGTTCATTTTATAGCACGTGCTGCAGTTACAGCGGTAGACTTCTTGTTGGATTGGCTGAGGAGGATGAGACGACGAGAATGGGTGTGGAAGGCTGAGAAAGACAATGTACTGCGTCAATCCGCAGTGACAGGATCCATGGCATGCTTGTCTCTTTGGCGCTGTCTCTGCCATCCTGGGGCTTGAAGTGGATTGCTGACCTAGAGCGATGAACTGGCTTCACATGGAATCTCGGAGTAGTTGACTATGTACATATGTATCACTTCAAAATAAGTTTGCATTTTCCTTGTGGAGGCCTGGACTCAGGCATCAGCTTTGTTACTAAGCCAAGTGTGGAGCAATCCTGCCGCTGCTGGCCTGAGGCGTCATATATATATATATATATATATCCATATTTCCATCTCTATATATACAAACATCCCTGGAGAAAGCTGGAGCAAGCTCAATCACCTCGTGCATCGCTCACTGGCAGGTCTCCAACCGACCCCCAGCCCTTCCATGACTAGACGCTCCCTCTCTTCCCAGGTGCTTCCACTCCCCTCCAAATCAATCACACTCCCCCCAGTCATTCTCTCTCGCACACCACTTGAATCAAATTTCCATCCATGTTTCTTCTTCGCATATCGTCGCAAGTCCCGCTCAAACGTAGTATCGCCCGACCAACCCAGCACCGCACACCCGACTGTGCGCCAGGGCGAGATGATGATGTCAACCCGCCGGTGTGGATTAGGGTTTTTCTTCGACTTTGGCCCAGACGCTGAAGAGGTGCCACGACTGCTGTGATCTTCCTGTTCTGAATCATCTGCAGCATCCGCCTGAAAGTGTGGGTCCTGCCATACAACAAGCGCTTTGTCGAGACTGTCGAAGTGGTGAGATCCGGGATCACCATGGAAAGGAAGCGTCTGCTGCTCTCTGTTAGAGCTTGTCATGTGAAGAGCCAAAGTATGCGTGATCCAGCCTTCAGTCTCCAAACTGCCGAGTATGTCGATGACAAGGTTTTTTGTAATTCGCTCGTCGCGGTGGCTGAGCACCAGGTCGATATCTCCCTGCATCTCCTTTCCGCGCCGATATCCACCGACAAGGATACATTCAATACCCTGGCCGTCATAATCACTGCCGGGCCTAACTAGACGCGCGTGTCTGTGGATGGTCCTTGCAATGTCAGAAACCTCCGAGCGAGGAATCCCCGCGAGGAACTCATCGTAGTATTTCAGTCCGATCTGCTGTACGCGAGACAGGCTATTCCATCCATGCTCAATCACATCATCCAGATCTCGCCATTGGCGCTGATAATAAAACTCGCGCGCCTTTTTGGCTCCCACGCCCCAAATATTATAAAACTGATGGATGGTACTAACTACCGGATCCGTATCCAACGCTTCAGCAGCCTCAACTTTCACGTCATCGTTGTTTCGAAACTCGACGAAAAGATTTGCAATCTTGGTGTCGCATCCCGGTAACGAGAGGATTTCCATGGGACTACGGAACTCGTAAGGGTATGCCGCTATGGATGCGATAGAGGTGCTGTAGGCACGCACCCCGATTTCGTCGAGGGTAAGTTCGCGGATTTTGCGAATCTTGACTAATTGGTTGATGAATGCTTCGTTGGGAGGATGTAGAGGTGCTGAGCGCATGCATGCGTACATTACGTGGTTTTTGACCCAGTCTGGTGCTGGGGGGATGAGATGGGTCTGGTCATGCTCTGATGTTGTCTGTCGGTATAACGTCGGAGGAGGATGTTGGTGCTGCGAGGCATTCACTCGCTTCATGGATGACGACGACGATGATGCTCCAAAAGTATATGGAGATCGAGTTGAAGGAACAGGCTTTGATGCGGCGTCCCTTATTGCACGGGCGATGATACCTTGGCTGTCATCGCTTTGCATCTTGACTGATTTTGACATCGTCGTAGTTGCTGCTGAAGCTGATGTTGGTTGGGCCGGTGGTGCAATGACTTTTCCATGGTAGATGACAAACTGGTCGATATCAAGCACTCTTCTCGCTTTAATTGACTGAGTGGCCCATTCAAGCCTGACGACTTTGACATGGTCATGTCCCACGATTGGGTTATCTCTAGCACCCTTTTCCTCACTTTGATAGTCATCTGAGGCTGTTGTCTTTGTACTATCGGATGAATGGGACCGTTTTCTCGGATGCTGCTGCCTATTATCTATCGGCGACTGACTCCTACTACGAGTACCTGCGCTCTCTGGTTCTGTGGAAGTCAAATCGGGGATATCATCCTGTTCCTGGCTCTCTCTCCGACTCCTCGACGAATGAGCCAACCGTCTCCTCTTCGGCGACGGAGAGTCCCTTTCTTCCCTCTGTCTTTTCCGCTGTGGTTTTACTGTTGATTTTGGCTGATCATGTACCACAGAACCAGATGCAAAAGCAGGAGAAGCAAGAACAGGAACCTCCTCAGTCCAGAGACCCCTCGATCTCAGCTCCAACGCTGCACGCTTGCGCTGTGCAATCGTGCCCAGCACGATTCTGGCTTCGGTGATATCGTATGTCAATGTAGCATCAAGATCGCCTAGATCGCCTTCCAAAGTGTGCAGTTCTTCCAGTGAAAGGCGGGTTGGGAGGACAAATATAGGTGGGTAAGTGGATAGTAAGTGTGGCGGTTCGTCCTCGATGGGCGAGGATGTTGGTGCTCTTGTATGCAGAGTCATTGACAGATAAACATATAAAATAAGTATGTATGTGTTTATGTATCAGTGAGATATTCCGTGTCTCGTCTGTTCAAAGCGATATGGCTGATAGACAGAGGAGGCGATATATTTAATGGACATGCGAGTGATTAATTCGACAGTCACATTATGGCGTATGGCGTATGAGAATGAAAACTCGAGCTCTGACAGAGCGATGCATTTTATATCGTGTCCGATATATATATATATATATATTATATATAATATTGTATATATCTTATGGCGATGCAAAGAATAAATCAGAGACGAAGGGCGGATTGAAGGGATTACACTTATTGTAAAGATGGCGTTGATTGGCTAACATTGGAAGCCGACGTCATCTTGTCGCTCCCAGTACCATGTACGACTAGTAGGAGATGCCAACGCCGGAGAGAAGAGTATAGATGATGTGGAAAAGATATATGCATATTTTCAGAGAATACAGTTTTACAGTATATAAATGAGTAGAAAATAAGAGTCAAAAAGAAACACATAAACAGATACATTTTAGAACAATAACCACACACTGACAACGCTAATCCCAACGCCCTTTCGAACATGGAACAGAGGGAAAAAAAAAAAAAAAAAAAAAAAGGAATCAAAACATCATCTCATTGCAATGGCCGCGAACTGCCCATCTCACCATACCGACCGCGACTCTTGGTCGTATCGTACGCATTGACGATCCTCATTTGCTGTCCGCCCTCGTCCGCTTGACTAAATGCATAGCCGCGCTGTTTGCGCATGCGCTGCACCTGGCGGACTTTGCGGATGGCCTTCTGGAACTGTTCCATGCGCGGCCGGTAGTCTTGAACATTGTACTTTTGGATTTCTTGCACATGGTGGTATGGCTGCGGCCGGTACATGCGCTTGGCATACTTCCACACGAAGTCACGAAGTAGGCAGATGGCGGGAATCAGGACGGCCATGAGGTAGAATTGTGGTATGGAGAACACAACAGGGATAATTCCGTGGTATTCTCGGGAAAATCCAATGGCAGGGGCGGCATAACCGTAGGCAGGCAGGAATATAATCCATAAGAGAAGGGATCCTGGAATGGCGATTAGGTGGTACTTGGTCCACCAGTTGGTAATCAAAGATGCCTTGGTGAGGACTGTTACGAGGACCGCTGTGTACATGGCTGTACCCCAGACCCAATGGCCCGTTGCCATGCCGTTTTGTTCCTTGAGATCGTCATAGAAAATGCCCTCCCCGATGATGTAGGCAAGCAGGGAGTGGTAGAAACCATTGAGAATCCAAGCCCAGAAGTTCCGGATCTTGAAGAACACGCCCTTCTGGCCCAGCTGATAAAGTTGTGGATACCGATCCAGAAGTCTGGCAGAAACAAATTGATCCACAATTCCAAGTGCAAATGGCGGCATAACGGTAAAGATAACGTTGAAGAAGGTGAGTGTCCATGACTCGTAAATGACCTCGCCTGAAAAGGCATCTTGGAAAGAGTACTTTATCCATTGTTAGTAATTATGAGAATCACTCCATTTCTAAGGATATCAACTCACCCAAAACTGTGTCATATTCAGAGCAATGTTCTTGTAAAACGAGAACAAAATAACTTGGCTGATGCGATGGTACGACCATGAACCGTGAACGAGAAGAAGTTTTCGCAAGTATCGGAATTGACCAATTGAAACATCTGCAGCACGCGCAGCCTGAAGGCCCTCAACACCACTGATCCCGACTCCCACATGCGCGGCTTGGATCATCGATACATCGTTGGCTCCATCGCCAATGGCCAGAAGAAGAGCCTTTTTGTGACGTTTGACAAGTTTGACAACAAGAGCCTTCTGAAGAGGAGAGACTCGACTGTGACAATGACCATTAGAATTGTTTGTAAGTTACATAGATATTATGACTTGTACTTACCAACAAATGACTGCTTTACACAGCACGGCCAAATCTAGGAAGAGCTTTTCCAAGTCCTTCTCTAGAGCAAATGTCAATGATTTGCCGTCGATGATGAGCGCAAGAGGTTCCATCTCAGCTCCATGGGTTAGTTGACTCCGAGCGGCTGCAAGTTTCTTCGTAAGGGTTTCACCGGTCGCCATGGCGTTTTCTTCATTAACAATCAGCAGAGACATGTCTTCTGATATGAGCTTGCACGACATGCCAATATTGATTGCCGTCTCCTGTCTATCGCCTGTCAGGACCCAGACCTTGATACCGGCTTGTTGTAGAGTGTGGATAGTGTCAGGGACTCCATCTTGTAGTCTGTCCTCAATAGCAGTAGCCCCGAGAAGGTAAAAGTCCTTCTCAATTATCTCCGACGCCTTGTCAAGTTCTTCTTGGCGATTACCACTAACCGTGGTCGCAGCTTTGTCGTGAATCTGGATCCATTGCTGGAACTCGTCTTCCGGAACCTCGCGCATTGCCAGACACAACGTCCGCAGACCATCGGTTGCGTATTCCTCCAAATGCTGCAATGTTACTTCCACTGTCGGATTGTCTGGGTGAAGACGTTCCAAGATGACCGTATCGGCACCTTTACAGAAAACCCTAACTTTGCCATCAGGGCACCGGAAAATGGTCGACATTCTTTTTCTCGAAGAGTTGAATTCACAGACCGCTAATAGTTCATACTCATACTCCTGGCCGTTCACAGAAATCTGCACGGATCGTGGCTTACGATTTGTGAACTGATATCCGAGCATGACAGCGCCTTCAACCAGGGCACCTTCATCAGGGGATGCCGCTTGGTACTTGATTTCACCAGGTCTATCATCTCTCCTCTCGGGAATGACGGTATGACAGGTTGCCAACATTGCTAAGAATTGATGGATGATTTCTCCTGTTGGATGAGATTGCAAGTTCTCTTGCAGCTGCTTGAAATCATGAACACCAATATCACTGCCCGGAACCGCTTTTCTGTCTTCGGGGATATCACCGCCGTATTGAATACCACCAATGGAGCACTGCTTGAACTCCATCATATTGCAGGTCAGAGTTCCAGTTTTGTCAGAGAAAATATACTCAATCTGGCCAAGTTCCTCGACAAGCGAAGATGTTCGACATATTGCGGGGGTATCTGTTTTGTCGTAATAGATATCGAGGTCGGAGTTGATGAGCAAAGCCTGGAAATATTTGACAATTTCAATCGTGACAAAAAGTGAAATGGGAACCAGATTGGAAAAGAGCACCCAGTTGGTCGCAATGTCCATAAAAAACTGCTTGGCCCCATCATATGTGCCTAAATACAAGTATGACAGCTTTTCGCCGGAGGTCTTACGAATGATGAGGTCGCCGACTGATGTGATGACACTTAGAGCTATCAGGATTCCGACCAGGATCAAAATTTGCAAGTTCACAGTGTGTTCAACAGCCGTTCTCTTGATAGGTGTGGCAGTAGCGTTCCTCATGAGCTTCGTTTCGTGACCAGTGAACACGACGATCCCATGGATCCAGGGGGTGTTGCGAAGTGTAGCACCACGGAGAAGAAGCTGCTCTGGTGACAGAGGAAGCTCCTTTTCACCTCCCCCAGCATGCATTGTCAATGTAGCCTCGTACGTGTAGAGACTACTGTTCGGCTGTTCAGACCGTAGTCGTCCGCTCAACCTGCTCATATCACTGGGATTGACAAGATGCGACGTCTCTGGAATGGCTTGTTTGACCTTTAGATTGGTTTCTCCATCGAGGTTTGCCGTTTCAATATAGCAGAGACCCTCTGGTTCAGAGCTCGCCAACAAGACTAGATCTGCGGGAAATGGCTGTTCAGACTCCACGCGGACAATATCACCTACGGCGACGTCCAACCACTTCGTCTCCTGAAACTGGGAGCCTTTCAGAACTTGAGCTTTGGATGTATTCAGCGAGGTATCCGAAGACCTTCGTTTTTGATCCTCGACCAGCTCTTTAATAGCGGACACAATCAGGACAAGGCCTAGTGGTACAATTGTTGTATATCGATTTGTGGGAGTAACATTGGGTATCTGCTGCAGAGCGGCGGTAAACAGGAAAAACAAGTTGGCATATTTGGAAAATTGCTCGTAAAGAAATTTGGGTATAAACGTGATGATGTTGTACTTGGCCGTTGAAATATAGTTGTTAATGAACTTTTGCGAAGAATTGGCTGGCGCATTATTGAGCATAATGATTCGAGGTCCGAGGGTTGAAGGGTCGACTTTTCTTCTACCAAACGTAAACCCAGAACTGCCGCGTTTCCTCTGCGCTCTTTTGACGCTGCTGTCATCTCCCTCTCCCAGCCTTGACCCTCGAGCTCCAGCTTCCGTTAGGGGTAGGTCCATTTCGGAATACTCGGACCCCATGCCCAGCATGCTCTTCGCTTTGCCCATGAACCCACCACCCAGAGCCAGGATGCTGTTTCGTTGGTGCTGCTGTCGAAGCTGACTAGGAGGCATGTTGTCCTCGTCCAGATCATTGTAATAGCCGTGCATGTGCTCATCCTCGTAGTCGTCAATATCCGAATACCTCTGAAAATTACTCAGACCGGAAGTCTGAGAATATGTGCGCTGTGCGGGCTCGCCGAGATATGGATCACTTCCGGCCTGGTCAATGTGCAACCCTGTGCGTGGATGCGCCCCAGCAGCGGCTGGATTCCTGGCCCCAACAAAGTCATCATACGAAACAGACGGTCGCGCATGCTCGGAATCGTCGATGTTATACTGCTCCAGCAGTCGATCATCGTCTACCGGCGGGTGCTGGCCAGTGTTGTAGACCGACGCGTTGTTCTCTTCCAGCTGCAGCAAGTCATCGCTCCGGCCAGCGGATGGATGACTTCCAGGAGGCCGACCGCTGGCCATCGTAGATTTGGCAAGCGGACAGCCTTAGGTCTTCGCGGGTGGTGAAGGATCAAAAAGTCAGAAGAAATGCCCCTGAAGCATTGGAGTCGAGATTTTGTGTTTTGAAGCAGCTGGCGAACTCGAGTCGGGGGGAAGATAACAAGGCGAGAATGGCAATGGCGAGATATTCTAGCTGAGAGTAAATGTGAATCTGGTGACAACAGATATCGAGCGACGTGGCGGATGCGACAATGAGCAGGCTGGTCTCAGGGATTTTCTCTCAAGCTTTTCTTTTCGATGGTGTTTCACGTTGTCGTGCAGAGAGAGCTGCACCGCTCGGTGGCTCGGAGAACCAGCCAGGGGCCAATGAGCAGCCGAGCTGGCGGCACCAACATCTAAGCCACGTAAATACATGCCGTCAGCAATACCAGTAATACCAATACCATAAGTTACGAGACATCTGTCTGGCTCTGTACACATACGCTTTGTTTCTTAAGGCTACGTCTCTTATGGCTTGTTATTTATATTAGACATGGTTTGTAGTCTTTGTTTCTATCTGGCTTCGTATCGCCGTAGCTCATGGCGTAAAACGTAGTTATCTCTGATGATGCGCCGGTTTGGCTGCATCGCCATGGCTGCTTGCTGAGCATGCCAACCAAGTCAATAATATGTCGGCTCAGTCAGCTGTGAAACCGTTTCAGACCGGGGACGTCGCCACCTGTCAAACACCAAGGGTGCGGAGGGATTGCAAGTCGGGGTGGCTGATCAGCCGGCAGCCTTGGTACAAGAGCCTTCGAAGAAGAATAGCATGGTTCATGTATAATAAGGTAATGAGACGTTTATCCTTCACGGTCATTTTCTGCGTTGGCTTCTGCCGCACGATTCACTTTTGCGCGCCGAGCCAGGTCGGATTCGAGCGCCTTATTTATGATCCCGTTGATTTCTTGCACTTTCCGTAGTGCGAAATGCGTCTTTTTCACAACCTCAATTGCGCTGACAGGACTACCGGCGGATTTGTATACTGCGCATGTCTCGCCCGAGTTGTTCAGGGCAATGATCAGGTCTCCTTCCGAAGCCTGTTCCTCTTTGCGGGTGGCATCCAGGACGAGGACCTTCCCCTCATGAAAAGACTGGAACGTGATCGACAATGGCCTGTGGGTGATATTCAAAGGTACCGGGACTCGTTCATCGACGCCGAAAACTGTAACCTGGCCTTCTTTGACCTCAATGTCGGGACGTCGAAAATGTTGCAGGCCTGCCATAATGCCAATGCATGCCGTGTCAATGAGATTGCCATCAAAGTCGATCACATGCACATCTGCTCGTATATTCCAGGCACTTTTGCCCTTTAAAATACATAGAGATTCCGTATCTAAGGCATTCGAGTGCCGGATTACACGGTCAAGCACTCGCGATACGTAAGTCTCGAATTCGTTTTGCCTTGGAAGAAAGAAGAAAAAATCAGCGAACTTTGTCGGGCAGAAAGAGTAGACGTGAGATGCTTCCAACATACCGAAGATTTTCCCAAGCGGGGGATCCCATAGATGTAAGCTCCATTGCAATTGAAAAGGTGCCATCAGATTGGCGGTCATCGCGGGGTTTCGTTACTTCGGCAGAGATGCGCACAACCAAACTAGAGGAGGTTAACAATAATGGAACCGATGTAGTGTTTTATAGCTGCCGACTCACCTTGTCTGTCCAAGCTTAACTCTGACATGTCCGTACTCTTCACCGAAAGTCACGGAGAGAGGGCGAAAGGTATCAACATCGCGACCATCGAGACGGATATTCTGGAGGAGGGCTTCGAGGATGAATTCCCGCTCTGCGACTGACAGTGGTGTTTCCTTAGACATCGTTGTTGTAGATTGTCCCAATCGATAACACAGCGCACTATAATTGTAAGCTATAAGATGCAAATATGCATAATTGAGAGCTCGTTGTTTTTATTTGAGAAAGCATCCAGAGAAGCCAAAGACTTTTTGACGGCAGATTAAATTATTGGCTCCGCCGACAGCCAATCATGCGAAGGCGGTCAACGGGCCTGTATTACTTTCTGCGCATCTTCGACTTTACCTCACTCGCAACCACATTAAACCTGAGTCTTGGAGGGATTCATATAAGTGCCGAATATGACTACAGGTAAGACTTTTTCACCCTAAAAATTAAAGGATGCTTTTCTCTTTCTGACTTCTGACTTCTGACTTCTGCAGCACATCGTCCCACTTTCGACCCGGTATATTTGATCGCAAGTCCCATATGAGGCATTATCCACACTAACACCCAGTGCAGGCCCAGGGCAAAGAGGCCCTCCGTGGCCCGGCTTATCACCAACGGCTCCTGCCTGCTTATATGCATTTGAAAGTTCGGTACGGTACATGGCCTTACAGCAAAAAGCATATGGCTCTAACACATCAGCAGACAACCAGGCCAGGGCGGCGAAGCCGATCGACCACGCGATCTCAGGGCCGAACTATTGGCAGCAGAAGCAGCACACTTTTCAAAGACCAAAGGCGTCCAGGCGGAGGCACCTGCTGAACCGGTTCCGAGACTCAAACGCGACCTCGAAGAGGATGCGGAAGCAAACTTGGACGAGGAAGACATAGAGGCAAAACGGCGGCGGATACTGGAGGAAACACGTGATATAGACGCTGACTCGGTGGGATCGGATTCAGATAGTAGTGATGAAGACAGGTTCGTTGCGTCGAAGAGGCAATGTTGGACCGAAATTGACCGTGATTAAATACAGCGACGATGAAGAGGATGAAGCCGCTGAGCTGATGCGCGAACTCGAGAAGATTAAGCGCGAGCGACAGGAACAGAAAGAGAAAGAGGTATATTTTGCATGCGGGGTCGCTCAACTGTTTTTGTCTAACATTTATATGTCTCTAGGAGCGCGAGAGGGAAGCCAAAGAGCAAGAGCAGCGAGAGTTCGACATTGCGCGGGGCAACCCATTATTGAACCCACAGGACTTCAATATGAAGCGTCGATGGGATGACGATGTTGTCTTTAAGAACCAGGCTCGCGGCAGTGAAGTCAAGAAAGGGCCCGAGTTTGTTAACGTAGAGCTCTCCGATCCCCTTTTACAGGTCTGCAGCATGCTAATCGATTATATGATTATAGGACCTTTTGCGATCAGACTTTCACAAACGATTCATGGTAAGCAGCACGTTTCATGCCTCTATTCAATTATGTTCCTGCGTCTAATCAAGTTCCAACAGTCGAGATACGTACGATGATTCAACGTTGCGCGTTTCTGTGTCTTATGGGTTGGACGGTGGCGTTAATGCTAGAAACAAAGATTTTTGTTTGTATATTGCTTGGTCTCTACCTTGAGCCTACTTCTGGAATGAAGCTTGAATGTTAGTATATGTCCTGTATGATCTTGAAATGTGTACAGTAGACTTTAGGTACCGCAAATCCTCTCAGGTGCACTCTGTACTACACGCTCGACTTCTAACTAGTTCTTAATAATAATAATAATAATACTAAATAAAGCAATACTACCTAAATACCTATTTCCCATATTGAGTATCACCTTAGTATACAATACCTTCTGATTGGGCCTCGTCATAACGCCAACTTCCAGGATATCGACCCTAAAAGTTGCACCATCCATACCCCATTATACATAACGTATACGCCCAACCCCTATCAGTGGATATCATTCATTACTGTGTAAAGGCCATTACAACAAGAACATACTGATCATAAAATCATGTTACACTGCCTGCGCCTCTGTGCCGGAGGACTTGGACACCATAATACCCTGGTCGTCGAAATGGTCCATCATGGCATGAGAACTAGCTGTGGCAGCAGCATTAGCCGGTAGCGGTGCGCCAATATCAGAGATCTGCGAGCCATTTATGTCGGAGAAACGCTGCGATTGAGCAGCGGACATGTTCCGACTGTCATTGCCGCTGTTGTTATTGCTATTGTTATTGCTATTACTGTTGCTGTTGCTGGTGCCGCCGCGCGAGCCAAGCGATGTGAGGCTGTGGATGCTGCGGATGACATTCCGCATATTTTCAGACTTGAGGAGGCCGTACTGCACGGGGAGACAGGCAGCGATGACACCTAGCCCGGCTTCGAGCATGGAGAAGTAGGTGGTGAGGGTAGTGAGATCTAAGAAATGTCAATATAAGTGATCATGTGAAGTAAGATTTATTCGAATTATGGAAGAAGATAGAACATACACTCCTCGTCAGAGTCTGGGTCAAATTGTACTAAGGCATTATTAGTAGAGAAAAATGGAAAATGCCCGCGCAGATGAACTTACCAGACAGCGCTCGTTGATAGATGGCCATGCGAACGATTGACATGGCGATGGTTCTGTATGGATATCAGTATATACGTAGGCGTATATTTTGGATACTCTGGAAACGCACATAGCACCAAGACCAAACACACACATAACACCGACCTTGCGATGGATAGTGAGACGGAGTTTCCAGATCTATCCGTCTCCCATCAGCATGTATATTCCTAATCACCAGTGAGCGTTCTTTCTTCCCACATACCTCGCTGAGAGGCAGCAAAATAATCAAGATATCCATGACCACATCCGATATGGCATAGGCCATATGTACTTTGCCCGTGGGCAGACAGTATTTATCCTCACTCTCGCTGCTGGTCCAGTAGGCGGCAAAATCGGTGCTACAGAGGAACAGAAGCAGGAAGAAGAAGCAGATCGTCCAGGCTGTCACCGCAATGATCATGGACATGGTAATCCAGCCGAACTCACGGGCAACATACTTGGTGAAGACACGGCGGTAAAAGAAGAGAAAGCTGAGTTTGATACAGCCAAGGGCGGGGACTTGTAGCAGTTCAGTGGGCCAGCCGGCCTGTGGCGGAGTTAAAAGTTAGAATAACTAGCTAGATATGCAGGTATTATCATGTCAAATACGCACCACGTTGGCATTTGGATGATTTGGCCCTGCATCTCCCACGGACGCTGGATAACCAAATCCCTTCATGCCGGTTTCTGCGGGGTGTGAATATATAGACATGATGGTGAACATCCAAATAGCGTACCGATGAGGATAGTAATGGCCATGCCAATAACAAAGAGCTAATTTAATGTTAGCTAGAACTTAAGGATAGTACAATTCAAAGGAAATGATTTCTCACCAAGGCCATAGCAACCGCCCAGTCATCAAGCTCCAGGCGTGAGCGCTTGATGCGCCGCGCAAAGAATCGCAGTCCCACCATCAGCGAGCAGAAGACGATCAAACATGCGGCCTCCGCAACCACGACGGGTGCGTGAATGCGGATGTCCTGGATGGCCGGCATGGCCTGGTCTGGAAGCTGGGGTAGACACAGTAAACTATAGTCTGGGGTTGTTAACGGGTATGGCGTTCGGTAGCGGTGGGGATCACTATTCAAGGGTCTCGGAAGGGAAGGGCCGCACGGGGCGCAGTGGACCCTGTTAAACAGGGATATCCACTAAAGCCCTAACTGCGTAATCTATAGGTTGTTCATCCATCACCGCCCTATGAGCTATTATTACCCAGGTTTCCTCAGTGCTTACAAATATCTGACCTGCGTTCGGGGACCATGACATACAAGACCAGCAGTAGAGGAATCTTTTATGGCAAGCTGCTAACGTGGCCGTAAAGGCAGTGGTGGTCCCTCGATTTTCAACTTCCTGGTTATTGGTTACAGCAGTTTTCTACCCAGGCCATTTTCTAATGAAATGTTCACCCTAACTAGGTTACCAATGTCACAATAGTCCCGTGATCAATTAACACCCACTTTCCCTAGTCTGTACGGCGTACAGACATAATTCACCGAGGTTGGAAGATGCAGTAAGAGTATCCTTCAAGCTTGCATCTATCTGCAGTACATTTTGTCATTCGCCCTCGTTATCTTTATTATCCTTATAGTCGTCTGAGAGCTCCTCTCCATGCCCCTTGAGGATGTCCCCGGGATCGTACCTGCGCTCCCGCATGAAAGTCTCCAGTCTATCCCAATTCACGCACTCCCGCTTCACATCCGGGCGCACACTGAGGTCATGCCACGGCCGGTTCGACCAGTAGAACCGGTTAGTGGTTAGGTCAGGATGACACATCATCGAGGTACGCAGCGCTTCGAGGCAGTGCGCTAGACATATTCAGTTTATGGTGAAGAAAAAAAGTTGGAGTAAAGAGGATATATGCAAGAAATTGGAGGAAACGTACAGCTATGTTCCAGATCATTCTCCTTCTGCTCTGCCGTCATGTTGGGATAGTAATGATCTGCCTGGAGTGTCTGACGGATACGTCGCTATGAAATTATTGTCAGTTTAACTCTTGAGCGAAGAGAAAAAAAAAAGATGGCGAATACCCACCAGACAATGAAGGTTATGATACACGCCCAGCATAAACAGACTGTTACCATTCTTCATCACCACGGTGCGCGACGCATTCAAGTGTTTGGCCTCTTCAGGAAATACTTGCAGGCCGTGTGCTGGGACTGTCAGTTCAGCCTGCCAGCACCTTCGAAATGCATATATTTTTCATTACATACGATGTATCAAACGATTCCAAGCACGTTCCGATTCATCGCTGGGCGGGCCAAAAAACAAGTCGTTGCTCCAGTAGTCCCACGGCGGCATATCGATGGTATACACGATGGCAGGAGTGAGGGGGGCTAGATGGTGGTAGAGAGAAAGAGAGTAAATATGCAAATTCTCATGGTCATAGCTTCTATGTCTCTCACGTACAATACAGCTTCGGCCGTGGGGCTTCCCGGAAGAGCAGCACGGTACGCACATGGGGGATGAAGTTGATTGCAATGACGACCAACAGCACTGTCAGAGCGTGTGCCAACATTGATTTCAACCACGACCACCAACGAGAGTTTTTTCGAGAGATACGAGCATCTTCCAAGTCCACCGTGTGCTCGTGGTCGTCGAGGAGCGGTTCAGCTTCGACGCCCATGGCATGAACCGAGGCAAATATAACTATCTGGTACATTATTTGTCAGACAAGAAATGCCGAGTTATCCAGGACCACAGATTGATACTTGCCCGTTTAGAGACGATCTGAGCAGAGGAATATCTTGAAGTCAAAACCTCAATTGCATAAAGGAAGAAGAAGACGTGCTAGCTGGCACGCTCTTGTGTGTAGGAAGGGGTGCCACAATAGGAACCTCTAGGCGCGGTACTTCCTAGATAGGAAGCAAAACGATATGATTCTCAATTCCGCCCCCAATGGTGATTAATGTATGCGCGCAGCTGATAGTTGCAGTTCCGGCCCCCAGGTCCAACCAACGGACCATGGTAGGTACCTCGTAATTGTAGAGTTCAGCTCATGTTGTACGTTTCATATTTTGCGCGGTAAGGAATCAGGCCCAAAGGAAAGGCTGCGGGTATAAGAAAGGGCGTCACCCCGAGGTCCAGCGACAGTCAAGGCAGTCATTACTCAGACACTTCTTAGTGGTACAGCCCCCAGAATTCTCCGAATACCACAAAGTCCCGAGAAAACAGAAACCAATATGCATCCTCGGCTATTGTTCCTCCTTGCGCTGGCCTGGACGGCCGTGGCTCTCCCGGCTCCATATGCAGGTGGTAGAGCTTCAGCCAGAGATTTCAATTCTATACCCCCCTACTGACAAAAAGTAGACAGAGCTGAGTCTTTTGTCGGTGCGGAGATCGAGGTTGCCATTGACTGAGTGCTCGGGGATGGCACGAGGAATACTAAAGTGATGGGAAACAGAGAGGCGATGTTGGAGGAGGCGTTGCGTGCAAGTTTAACAAGGAATATGGACGGTTTCCTTGTGGCTATCGGTTCTGTCTTAGCAGTACAAGCAAGGTATTTGGGTTGAATTTCATCCCAGAATCGTATATAGAATATTTTATGCCTGAATGTAATGAAGGATAGTTTATACCACTAGCCCAACATGGCTAGCCACGTGCCTGCCCAAACAGGCAGTATTTCTTTCCTTGTTCCAGCGCTCTAACTCAATCACGCCTGCACATAATCATTCTTCTCATAACCGTGTTTCTTCCGATACTCCTCCGCACAGTCGCGAAAATCACTCGCCAAGCACGGCTCCTCAGGGTCTTCCCACCAGCCCTTGCGATGAGAAGTCAGGCCCGCCTCATACGCCAGCCTGTCTGTGTAATAGACCAGATCGGCATGGAAGTTGATGCCATCAACACCCCTCGTCGGGTATCGTCTTCGAGACAGGGCGTTCATATACGCGACCTGGCGCTTGGCCTCGCTTGGTGGTGGCAGAGTCACATGTCCATCCCAATATGCAGTTGCCCAAATGGCCTGCGCATCAGCGACACGGAAGTTATTGGACACTCGAGCCCTTCCCAAGAATAGGATGGATGGATCCGACAAAGAAGCCATGCCGTGGTAGAGTCTGGCCGGTGTGCGACTGATATCTCCCACGGGTTTTGCGTCACGGGGAGGAGAGCCTAGGATGGGGAATTCTTTCAGGATATCTGCGTCTGCCTGTTTCCTCAGGTCGTCCCATGTTTGTTCCTCGGCTGAGGTGTCAGGTTGATGTGGGAGACCTAGTTGGATAGCTTGGTCAGGGGTAAAGAAAGGATAGGAAGGGTCCCAGCCTGTGCCACATAGCACAGCATCGGTGGGCACTACTCTTCCGTCTGTTAAGATTATGGCATTGGGCGTCGTGCCATATGGGTCACTCCGGTAGACAGTCACCTTCTTACTGACGAGATCCCAGAAGTCGTCGTGCTGGATGACTCCAACGGGACCGCTGCTCCAGAAGAATCTATCCAAGTCAGAAGCGAGTGATTTTGAGTTGTACACACTCAATGTATCAGACAACTTACGATGCTTTCGGTTCCAAGTCACGAAACCCCGGAAGAGCTCCCTCTCGGCCCCGATAATTCGCCCATGTCTTGAACCGATTGTCCGCAGCATACAACTTTTCCTCAAGAGCAGCTCTCTCTGACTCGAGTTGGTGGAGTGAAAGAGCTTCTGCAGGTAGGGCATAAAAGTTAGAAGGGCTCAGCCTTGCAGCTTTCCGAGTTGCTCCAGCTTCTGCCGCATTTCTATATCTCCCCCCGGCCGCCGGATTCATAAATATGCCTGGCCCTTCTCCCGAAGTGCGAATAATCCAGTTAACATTCTTTCCTGTTCTGAGGGCACCGTACACCATGTCTACGGCTGACTTTCCTCCGCCGATAACAGTTATATCTTTGTACGCTGACTCCGGGTCCAAAATCTTCTCATGAGCTCCAAGATCACGATGGTGCAGTATGGGAGCTTTCCATTGGGGGCTGCGAGGAAATGTGGGCATGTTTGGCAGTGATGTTATTCCCGATGCCACTGCTAATTTACTACAGTACACGGTTTGAGACTCTGTGTCATCGATATGCAAGAGCCATCCATCACCGCGCTTTTCCACCATGCGTACATCTGCATTGACTCGGACTCGAGATCGCAGAGACATACCATTGTATATATGATTGTCAACATAATCTTCGAGATACTGAGTTACGTATCTGGCCTCGAAGGTATCGTGGAGTCTGGGAGCATCGTCAGGCAGCTCAAGAGGCACGTCGGCGAACGAGGTCATGCGCAGAGGACTCTGGACCCAGAACGCCTCAAAGACTCTCTCTGGGAACAGAGTTAAACGAAGTCTGATCGAAGTTTACAGTTACCACGGACCTGCGCTCCATACCCCGCCGATGCCTGCGTCCTTTTCAAAGATCACCAGGCGTGCTTCCGGGTGGATGTCGAGATAGAACCGGGCAAAAGCGATGCCACTCAGCCCTAGAAACGATGAGTGCTGTTTCTACCATAGGTACGCTAGTATCAAGCGATTGATAAACCTACCGGCGCCGATGACCGCCACATCGACCTCCATGGCTGACATATACACCACTGAACCGGTACGTTCTATCAGTCTGTCACAGTCGTAGCACCGGTATAATGTGTGCGATTATAAGTTGCACGTAAACGGGTTGACTAAAATACAGCGAGCGCTTGTTACTTTTAGCTAGTGAACTAGTCAACTATCTAGTTACCTAGTTAGTAGAAAGCTGAGTAAGAGGCTAAGAGAGGTGGAGATGATCGGCGTGCTGACTGCATTAGCATACATAGCGTTTTGTTTGTCTCTACACGTGGGGTACATTTTAGTTCATACAGCTTATACGTATTTGATTGTCGTTTCCTGGTTATCTGTCCATGGAGAGACGCCTTTCAGAGGGCATTCCAAAGCTGAAAAGCTTAGGGGCCTTCAAGATACAAAACCTAAGTTAAATGGGAAGAACCCTGTCAACCGGTTTCTCGCACAGCAATTTCTCTCTTCATGTTCAACTCCATATTTCTGGTGGGATATTGCTTTGGCCCAGTGTTGGTCGCCCCGTGAGTGAGATATACGGCCGGATCGTGGCGCGGTATCCATATCGTGGCCATGACTATTTGTGAGTGACCAAGATTGATAAACGACGTAAATGGATAGGGGTATACATTGTTGGCGGGTTTGGCTCTGCCGTTATTGGTAAGGGAGTTTTGCTGGTGAGATGAGGGAGCAGGTTGATTAACTTGCGTATCAGTCATCGTTTTGAAAGCAACAATATACAATGTAAACCTAGGTAGTTAGAATGTATAGTTAGAAATACTTATTGAGGCCTCAGGCTCCATAGTGAAGAGTGGAGTCAGCTAACCCGTTACAGATCCCAAGGCAGCAAGGCACCAACGACAAGCCAGCAAGCGTGCGTCTCTATCAGCGTCTATCTCCGACATCAACCTATCTGTAACTACAACAATGGATTCCCAAGCTACCAGCAGAGCTTTGCACAGTAAGCGATGTGCTCGCCTTTTTAACCGCTGCAATCTGAACATACCATTCCCATCCCAATCCAAAAGAAGATGATAACAGTCTCCTCCGCACGCAGCATGCGGGGAATTAATTCATATCTGACAGCCATCGTCCCTGACAGATCGCATCAACACGGACGTCACGCAATTGCTTCAGCGGTTTGAGAATATTCTTGCGCCTTCGAGGGTATGTTCTGTTTTTATCGATCGTCATATACTCCAGTGCTAAGTCCATCTACAGGTCGAAACTCCAGATAATACCTACACGGCCGTTGGAGCGTACAATCTCAATGTCGAAGCAACAGCTCTTGTGCGCATCCCTTCCGCCTTTGAATGAGTGTCTAGGTGCACTACTAACTGCTCGTGTGTGTGTGTTTCAACAGACCCGTGCTGCCGAGGACCTGCTCTCCCTTACGCGCTTCATGAAAGAAGCTTGGCTTTTCGAGAAACTCAACACGGTCGGCGAAGACGAACACGACCTCAGGCGCAACCAGGCACTGGAGGAGGATGTGGCTGCGGTGAAGGAAGCCGTGCGGACTGGGCTTGGGAGGGAGTCGACGTGATCTACCATGGTTCGGCTCTTGATTCTTAGGCGGAGTTTTGGGATGACACATAAGGAGTGGCTACTGGAGTTCTTTCTTGGTACATGTGATACATGGTATGAGGCGTTCATGAACATTCTTATTGCATACGGGTTGTACATACGTACGTCATTGTTTGAATATCACAAAATCACACGCTCTCATTGAACTTTTGAACTGTTAAACTGCCCATGCAGCCTCCGGATATCCTCATGCGTAGCCTTGCAACACCCGCCGACGAGGAAGGACTGAAATGGGCCTCGTGCGTAGGCATCACGCACCACCGTAGCCAATTGGACTTCCCACGGATCCTGCCATCACCCAAAGTTAGCACACATTGTCGAGCATTTCGTGAGCACTTTCTTTCCCCTACCGCATCTGCGCCATCCCCCTGGTCCTTCTTCTTCTCCCATTGCTGCGTCGTCGTATTATAGACTTCTCCGTTGGTGCCGTCCGGGTACAACACCAGGGTCGTCGGAAGTTGGCCGGACGTAGTGGTGACGGTTTTCCGCATACAGCAACCCAGTCGCTCGACGAGTCCCGGCAGTTTTACTATTTTAGTGCAATTAATCCCTATCCCCCAAGGATTCGCGCCGTCCTGCATGGGCGCCATGGCGGCCGTGACGACCTGCTCGACCGAGCTCCCGTCCGGCAGAGCGTCGTCGCCAGCCTCGCCGGGGAAGACACACGAGATCCAGAAGGGAGTGCTAGTCAGACGCAGCGCGTGGATGGCTCTCCGCACGGCGCGGACCTCGTCGAGCCGCGGCAGCGTCTCGAAGGCAATGTACTGCACGCGGTCCGCCAGCTGGTCGTCGGCGTCGACGAAGAGCTGCAGCCGGTCCCGATGCCAGTGATACAGAGCCTCCTCGCTGTCATGTGCCGCGTCGTACTTGCCACTGTACTCCTGGCTGGGGATCATGCAGGCGCCGTAGGGGCCCAGGCTGAGGGCGATTTCGGTACGGCGAGTGCTTCCAGCAGCACTGGCCACGTCCAACGCAGTGCGCAGAAAGGGCGCAATGGCAGCGCGCGGAATGCCATGGGGGAAGTCGGGCGTCTTTGTGCGCGCAAAGCCCTCGACAGACACTTGGTATGTGGCCGTGAGCAGCACGGCGATGCCGGCCGAGGCGAAATCGCGCTGGCACGCGAGCAGGGTTGCGCGGTCGCTCACCAGCAGATGCGACGCCCACAGCGGGGTGGAGGCGTCAAAGACTACGCCGTATTTATCCTGCAGCGAGGTGCCCAGGCCGCCGTCGAGCACAGCGACCGCAGCAGGCATCGCGTGGGTTGTGGTTCAGCTGGCGTTGCCGCTTCAGAGATAGCGTTGGAGGTTGGTGCCGTTCGGTCGTCGTCAGTGCGGCTGCCTTCATCCTTTCGTCGCTCCTCCCACCACTCTTCTCTCAGCCGGGCGCAACGCCTAAACGAACTACAACGCCACGAGATGGATTTTTTCTCTATGCATTACCCCATTGCATTGTCTGATGCTATCTCGATTAATCTCTCGCAGGATTTTCGTGCAATTGCTAGCACGTTGTCGCCACGCGCCAGAAGGATTCTCTTATCTCGGAACGTTCCATCGGCTGCGCATTGGCGCAGACAAGACCAGGGTTATCAGCCTAGCCTGATGGCGAGCTCGCTGCTAGTGTAACGCTGCTGGCGCTGGCATGATAAGGGAACTGCTATAAATGCTAGCCTGGTGCCTGCATGCAAGGGTGGATGAAAAACCACAGCCTCAGCTGCACATCCTGTCTGTCTGTCTGTCTGTCTGTTGTCTGCTAGCAACCATGGCCACTTCAGACGTCGATGTCGAGTATCTGCCTCCAGATGCCTCGTACGCGTACGAGAAGAAGCATCCGGATGCCGAGTACCAGGATGCAGACGCTCGTGATACTGCCGTCGCGCAGATGGGCGAGGTCAACGAGGTCCGCCAGGGCTTGCACCAGCGCCACATTCAGATGATCTCGCTGGCTGGCACCATCGGAACCGGTCTGTTCTTGGGCTCTGGCAGCGCCCTCACCAACGGTGGCCCTCTCGGTGTCCTGCTGGGCTACTCGTTCACCGGCTTGTTGGTGGCCAGCGTCGTCTTCGCCGTCGGTGAGATGGGCGCCTTGGTGCCGCTGAACGGCGGTGTTGTTCGCTACTCCGAGATCTTCTTTGACCCGGCCATGGCCTTTGCCAACGGCTGGAACCAGACCTACTCCATGGCCGTCTCCATCCCCGCCGAGATTGTCGCTGCCGCCGTGCTCATTGAGTTCTGGGCCACGTACAACAATGCCATTTGGATTAGTGTGTTTGGCGTGCTCATCGTCATCAGCGCTTGCTCCTTTATCCGCGTCTACGGCGAAATGGAGTTCTTCTTCTCCATCTTGAAGATCATGCTCATCATCGGCATCAACATCATGGCCCTGGTGATCACCTGCGGCGGTGGACCCGATCATACCTCGATCGGATTCCAGTACTGGCGAAACCCAGGTCCGTTTGTGCAGTATCTAGGCATCGGCGGCTCCTTGGGCCAGTTCCTCGGTTTCTGGACCACCTTCAACAACGCTCTGTACGCATACTCCAACATCGAGAGTATCACCGTCGCCGCCGCCGAGACGAAAAACCCTCGCGTAGCCATCCCCATGGCTGCGAAGCGCATCTTCATTCGTATCTTGCTCTTCTACGTCTTGACCATCTTCATGATCGGCCTCGTCGTCCCATCCAATGACCCGCAGCTGCTCAGTGGCAGCGGCACCGCCTCGGAATCGCCCTTTGTCATCGCCGCCCGCCGCGCCGGCATCAAGGTTGTGCCCTCCATCATCAACGCCGTCGTCCTGACCTCTGCCTGGTCAGCCGGTAACTCCTTCATGCTCACTGGCTCGCGTATGATCTATGGTATGGCTGTCTTTGGACACGCCCCCGCTGCCTTCAAGCGAATCAACCGCTTCGGTGTCCCCTACGTTGGTGTCTGCTTCCTCGGCGTCTTTATCTGCCTCGGCTACATGACCCTGTCCAGCTCCGCCTCCACCGTCTTCACCTGGCTGCAGAACATCGTCTCCGTCGCCACCCTCGTCAACTGGATGACCATCCTCACCGTCTACCTCCGCTTCTTCTACGGCTGCCGCAAGCAAGGCATCGACCGACACGCCGAGCTCCCCTGGGCTGCCCCCTTTCAGCCCTACGCTGCATGGATCTCCATGTTCATCTTTGGCCTGCTCTTCTTGACCGGTGGTTACAGCACTTTTATCCATGGTGACTGGAGCACATCCGTCTTCGTCTCCTCTTATCTTAACCTGCCGCTTATCTTCATATTGTACTTTGGCTACAAGTTTATCAAGAAGACCAAGATCATCCCCTTGGATGAAATTCCTATTCGTCCGTTTATTGAGGAGATGAACCGGAATCCTCCGCCCATCACACCGCCGAAGACGGGATGGCGCAGATTTAATATTTTGTGGTCTTAGACTATTTAGTATCATTCTACGTGTCCTTTATAAGATTATTTTATGGTCCATACAGTCTATCTATATATATTTGAATGAGAAAGTGCATCTTGGTGAACGGTCTTTTTTTTTTTTCGCAACTTGTGTTCTATATGGTATTTGATTATATATAAATAACACTACTACCTTTCCTCGGGGTCCTACTGTTCATTGATATTCTTGTTCTATTCTAAAATAAAGAATCTCCAGTTTAAATAAACAAACCCAAATGGTTAACCACTGCTTATACTGCTAGTGAAGTTGGAATTTTTGTACGGTATTTCCATGAATTACATAATCAAGATAATTCGGTCTGATTCCTCAGAAGTTCGTTGTAAACATACCAATCAGAGCTTCATTAATTCCTTTGATGTAGAAATTGTATATCAAAACATGGGGAGAAAAAAAAAGAAAAGAAAAAAAGAAACAAGTGTATATACTATACAGTTCCGCGGTTCATGGGCGGTTCGCGTTTTCACGCCGAACCTGACCGCGTTTCCACAATCTTATCTTCACCAACCTCTCCATCAACAACAACAACATAACAAAGAAAAGAAAAGAGAAACAAAAAAAGAGATGATCTCCGACTCCGAAATGCCAGGCAAAGTCCTAACCCTCATCGTGGCAACAACGCCCGTAACCCGCGCTGGCTCCCCGTCTCCCCTCCTCGGCATCGGGCTCAATGGCACGCTTCCCTGGCCGCGCATTAAATCAGACATGGCCTTTTTCGCACGCGTTACTACGCGTCCACCCTTTTCTGGTCACTCTACTGCTGCCGCGAACGACAAAGTCAACGCCATAATAATGGGTCGCAAGACGTATTACTCGCTCCCGAAGAGTCTGCGGCCGCTCAAGGAGCGGCTGAATGTCGTGATATCGCGGGATGAGAGCGGGAGTGTGGCGGATGAGGTTGCGGGGGATCTGGCGAGGCAGAGGGAGAAACATAATAATACTAATGATAATGTTAATGTTAATAAAAGTGGTGGAAGTGATAAACGCGATGCGTTTGTGTCACACAGTCTTGGAGCCGCGCTTGAGCAGCTGCGAGAGAAAAAGGGTGATGAGTTGGGCCATGTGTTTGTTATCGGGGGAGGGGAGATATATAATTCTGCCTTGAGGTTATGGTCCTCGCCGTCACGCGAAGAGGGCAAGGAAAGGACAGTCAATTTGAGAATACTCATGACGCGAGTCAAGAAGATTAATAATAATGACGGCGAAGAATTCGAGTGTGATACCTTCTTCCCGCTTACGGATGAGGATTTGAGCTCCTCCTGGCGAGAGGCTGGGCCGGAGGAGCTGGGGAGTTGGGTTGGGGAGCGTGTGCCGGGGGATTGCGACTGGGTTGAGGAAGGAGACGTTGCGATTAAGATTGTAGGATATGAGAGGGTTGTATGAGTTTGTTCTATACACTCGTCTGAAAGAAAGAAAGAGGGAGAAAAAAAAAAAAAAAAAAGAGCAAAAAGTTGACGCAATGTACACGAATGAACTGAGATCTATATACACTCCGAAACGCTGAATGACAAAAAAAGAAAACGCCATCCGCTCAAATGCATATATGAAATGATGCAATAAAGATCAAAAATACGAGATGAGCATGAGGCGAGATAACACTCAAGACTTCTCAAGTTCTCGCATATGCCTCACAAACTGCTTCTTGTGGACAAGGCCATGGAATTTACCGCTGTGCAAAACGCATATATATCGAAGACCCAGTTTGACGAAACACTGATAAACCAAGTCTAGAGGAGAGTGGATGTCGAGGGCAACGGGGGACTGTATTGTGTTAACTTCATAAACATGATAGAAGATAGTATGAACTTACCAGGTCGACATAAATTGTAAAATCATGCACTACCCTGCTGGTGCCAACATCACTGTCATCATCGTCATCATCATAAGGCGCCGGCCAATTCTGATGGTCAGGAGACATGATGCAATACTCCGAATATTCATCATCCAGCCCGTCTAGCGCAAACTCAAGATCGGTGGCCGCAATCATGCCCACCAAAACTGTATCTCGCACAATCGGCAAGCCGCTGTCAAGCTCGCCAGCCATGAGGATGTAATCCAGTTTGCCGCGTAGATCTTTAGCCCGGACAAGTGGCGAGTTGGAGATGTCAATGGTCCGGTGTTGGCCGGCCGGTCGACTGAGATCGCCCAGCGTTTGGTCTGTGGCTGTATGACTGCCTTTGTTGTCGAGGAACGGATAGTCGTTCATGTCTGTCAGCAGATCCTGTTTTTTTTTTTTTTTTCTTTCCGTCAGTATATTTCTAGCTGCTCCTTCTTCGTCTAGGATATACTTACGTAGATACTGCGAGGCTCGAGAGCATCAGCCGTCCACTTAGCGCAGAGGATCGAAATGCAAAACGGCAACACATGGTTCAAGCTGCCAGTCAATTCAAAGCAAATGACAGCCAGTGTTACCGACAATCGAGTAACGCCACACATAGTCGCTCCTGCTGCTGCCATCGCATAGACACCCGGCGTGATACACGCTTCAACACCGGGGACAGCGGGGCAACTGGCAAACAGGAAAAAGTCGGGAAACGTAACCACGAAATACTGCGTAAGATGACCCACGATGCGTCCCATCAGGCCACCGACAACCATCGAAGGCACATATATACCGGCAGGAACCTTCACTCCAAAGGTAATGGTCGTCAAGAAGCCCTTGACTACGAATGCGACGAGCAAATACTTGACCACCTCCAAGATATCTTCCTTTTCATTTGGGCAGAGCCCAGACTTGGTGACGCCCGTAGGATCGCATGGCGCCGTGAGTTCTTCGAACAGCTCAGCCACCCCTAGTTTTGTGTAGCGGTTCCAGAAGCTTGTGACCCCAGTGATAAAAGCCACGAGGACAACTTCTAGCATAGGAGCTCGTTTGATAATCGGTATCCGCCGGAATGATCTCGCCCACATCCCGGTGGCTTTAATAAAAAGTGCGCCTGCGACACCACCGAGAACGCCTAAAAGAACGAAGAGGCCCATCTCAAAAATCTCCCAGTCGGAAACGTAGCGTACCTCAAAAGGCACAATCTTGCCTGTGCCGTAGGGATTGAGGAACTTGAGTGATAACGCAGAGGCCTAGAAGAGCTGTAAGTCCGGGATACTCATTGTCGGCTGCTGACAAGAAAACTTACAATGCAGCAAAAGAATGTACGAAAAAGTGTCTTTGGTGGGAAGTAGTAACTTGATAAGCAGTCAGTATCATTAGACAGAAGAGAGAAGAGAAAGAGAACACACCTGACTTCTTCTAATCCAAAAAGTACGCCGCCAATGGGCGCTCCAAAAGCAACTGCCACGCCGCTAGCTGCTGAAGCTCCCAGCACTTCACGGCGCTTAGCGTCGTTGGTTCGATACTTGGTAAAAATGCGGCTGCAGATGTTCCCGACGCACGTTGCGATGTGTACGTATGGGCCTTCCTTTCCCAAACTCATTCCAGATGAAATCGCCAAGACCAAACCCAGGGTTTTGAATATAAGGGTCTTCAATCCCAAATACCCATGCAAAACAAAGCCGCTCAAAATGACTTTGACTTCTGCTACCCCGCTGCCGGCAGCAGAGTAATAGACGGTAGACGGATTGCTACGCAGCTTAGCATGGTATCCGCTCGGACTCGGGGGGCCGACGCTATTCTCAGCCCCGAGGTTTTCGTCCAGCGTGGACAGGGCGATTGTTGAAGGGATGACGGTCTTGGTAACCAAAGTTAAAGCACACGCGCCCATGGCCATCAGGACGGCCCAGAGAACGTAGAAGATAAAGTCCACGGATCTATTGTCGAGATGGGACGAGTTCACAATCTGTGACCACGAACTCCACTGTTCACAGGATGCCTCGCCCAAGCAGCATGTTCTGCGGCCCGTCAGCCAGGATGTTGTGCAAATACCATCCTTCAACTCGAAGACATGACTTTCAGTGACGTCCACGAAATAAGCAATGGCGGCAGTAATGCAGCCTATAACTGCCACTAGGAACCAGCCCTGAGCACCATCTAGTAGAGCCAGCACTCGGCCCCGGAAGTCCTTGCGGCTCCTCAGCTCCCGCAAGCGAATGCCATCCTTGATGCTGTCATGCACCCAATCAATGGAAGTGAATTGGTCGTACCAGAGACGATCATCCAAAAACGATGAGCCCGGCATGGTATTCTCTTCATGCCAATGCTTGGGTGCACCGGACGACTGGCCGGCTACTGCGAAACGCGTGTTTTGCGATACCCTGCGGCTATGGTGCCGGGAACGGCGGAGTGTGCCGCCGGTGGTGTTGTACCTGAAGAAGCTGTCTGCTCTCGACGTCCCATAGCCCAGGCGGCCGGCATGGCGCGAGTCGCTTCCGAGGAGGCTATCGGTTTCACGGGCTAGCGGGCGATGTCGTCGGTAGGTGGGCGAGACCGGGGCAGTCACGGTGACTCGGGGATGCTGATAGTCGTCGTCGTCGTCGTCGTCGTGCGAAGCTGCGGAGGAAGCGTAGGCTGAGCGAGGCATCTTGCCGGTCTCGTCACCATGGAACAGATGGAATACCAGGGAGGGCAAGTGGCATGCTTCCTCTGATGCAGGCAGCAGGACAACAGAAAGTGCAATGAAAAGAAGGAAGATGATAGTATAATTAATATGCGTCGGAGGTTGAATTGAAGTCGTTGTGCCGGGTTAAACGTGCTAGTTAACTAACACTCGGTAGGTAACTGCCTAACTTAGTGATGACCCAAGGCGAGCGGCCCACATGGCGCACTTGAATCGTGAATATTAATGCTGGATGACTCGGCGCACTGACTCGTCTGTCAGTCAAATGATGGACGCTTGACAGTTAGTTGGCTGACCGGAAGAAGAGCTGGTGTTCTAAACTATCGCAGAAACGAGCGCGTGTGACCGCAGAACGCGTGGCAGCCTCAGGCAGCAAGGTATCTCCATGTTTGATGAAGCTGGATAGCAGCGACAATAGTCTAGAACAGACTGACCCGGACATATGTTATATTGGATATTTTCTACGTTCAGTGTTCTCTGTTCTTGTCTCTTGAATTTTGTGCACAGGGCTGGCTGGTGCTCCATTACCTAAGGTAACCCTGCCCCAAATCCCGGCTTCCAACATGGTTATCCGAGCGCATGCTTCTTTTCTTTTTCTCTGCGCGCCTTCAGGCATTCTGCTCAGCCAGTCCATCCTTCAATCAATAATCGCCAATAGCCGCCGGGCTCCGGTGTCTAGATTGGACATCCCTAGGCCTACGCTGTTGTCGAGTGTCACAGAACAGACAATAGACTACCCCGCGACTGCCTGTAGATATAAAAAAAAGTGACTTCCCCCCCCCATCGGCCTTCAAGGGTTTGGAAATGTCCACAGACAGCGCGGTCATCATGCATTCTGCCCTTCCACAGGATGGAGACTCAAGGTATGACCGGTTTGTAGTCTTTGGGGATTCTATCACGCAATTTTCGTATGACCAGCAGCTGGGATTTGGGTTTGGCGCCGCCCTGGAAAATGGCAAGTCTTGCTATTTCAGATATACATATATACGTCTTGAGTCCTGCTAACATCATGAATGTGTTTAGACTATGCTAGACGTCTTGACGTGATCAACCGGGGATTCAGGTGAGTGAGAATGCTCATTAAGCAGCTGTTGTCTCTAAGCCCGATGTCTCTTTCTTACTTACTTTTTCCATATCTGGATATCTCCAGCGGTTATAATACCGCCAATGCAAGACTCTTGATTCCAAGGATCTTTCCCTCGGTGCAGGATAGCCGAGTCCGATTAATGGTACGATGCCTTGATATGACATGATATGGAGATGGGCAAAGAAAGGAAGCAAAAAGACTAACAAACACCTGGCAGACCCTATTTTTTGGCGCTAACGACGCGGTCATGACCCATCATTCGCAGCATGTGCCCCTGGATCAGTACAAGGAGAATCTCAGGTTCATCCTGACGCATCCCGTCATCCGGGAACATGGCACCAAAATCATTGTTTTGACGCCTCCCCCGATCAATGAATACCAGTTGAAATATTTTGATGCAGCCAAGGGCTTTGACACGCCCAGCAGAACAGCGGCCAACACCAAGCTGTATGCCGATGCGTGCCGCGACGTTGCTCAGTCGCTTGGTTTGCCCGTCGCTGATATCTGGACGGCGATACTGAAATCGGCCGGATGGGAGGCTGGACAGCCGCTGACTGGATCGAAAGATGTCCCTCCGAATGAGGTACTGGCGAGTCTGTTGACTGATGGTGCGTCTTCCCTTTTCTTCGCTCATCTACACCCCATATAGAGAGGGAGTTCGATCTAAACAGTGCTCTTGCCAAATCTAGGTCTCCATTTCACCGGTGGGGGGTATAAGATCATGTACGACGAAGTCATGAAGACACTACGTGCTGCCTGGCCAGAGGAGGCGCCAGAGAGTCTGCCTGAGGTTTTTCCACCGTGGGAGATTGCTCCAAAGTGAGAATATTGGAGATATATAAGGAATCCTGGTTGCTAAGCATGACTTTGGATTCCAGAACGCATCTGGTGGTATACCGGCTACACCATAATGCATCAATTGACTCGTTTTTCTCTGTACTTACTTTCTTTAAGCAACAATATCTATATCTATATCTATATATATAAACTTTATACATAGCAAATAAAAGAAAACGCTGTACACATATAAAAAGATGAAAGAACGGGCGGCCGTTGGCGCTAGTTAGTCATGCAGAGAGGCTGCAGCCTCAGGCAGGGCCCTCCGCAAAATCTCCAGACCCTGACTGACCTCAACGGAACTCTGAACCGACGTCTTTCTTTTCTCTCTTCTATCCTGTCTCAAACTCCTGCACAAAGCTCGACTTCTAGCATTGCACGTGTCAGTGTCTACATCCCAACATTCCACAGCTTATCCCGAACTCCTGCGCTACCCACTTGTCTTATTCTTTGAACTTGCCAACCAGACGTGGGATCGCCACCGCCGCCGCGCCTCGCCTCAAGATCGCCCATATTCACGGCTCCCACTCTCGTTGTCTCTTCTCTTGCCTACTGTCTACACGGCGATTGGATCCCGATTATTTTGAGGATCACCAAGGCCCCTACCTTTGCAGCATCGGATTTCCTTCCACCTCTCTTTCCTACCAATCCCCTCCATACACTCTTTTGATCGGGGTACCTTGCGTCTTCCAAGAACATCGAAAATCGACTTACCCACACGGTGCTCGCTGGTGAACAGACCTCGAACAGTATATCTTTGAATGCGCACCGACAACTCAGAAAGAAGCGACTAATTAGCCCGGGAAAGACGGCCTTTCGGGCCGTCTCTGAGTCCTGGAGGGAGGAGGGCGCGAGGAGGATCCCGTGATTGTGCCAAAAGTCACGAAATATCAAGTTGGTAGTCAACAGTTGCACAACCGTTTCTTCTTCGCCCATACCACTTTTGAGTCCTACAAAGTAACCTAGTTACCGTGGGAATGGATGCACAGTACCCGTTTGCATCTCGGGAAGATATCTGGCGTGTATTCGAGGAGGTAAAGGACTTGTATTCTACACAGCTTGAACACGGGGAGCGTCTCGCGAGGCTAGAGCGTCGAAGAGAGGATGATGCGCGGTTGAAGAGTGTATGGGGCCCAATATCGCCATTTCCGAGCACCATGAGTGGTCCACTGACAGGTATATATATGCTTCCTTCCTTTTTTTTTTTTTTTTTTTTTTTTCAAAATGACAACCTTCACTTTCTAATCATGCGTGTGTTTTAGAGCCATCTTACACCCCAACTGTTGACGCTTTCAAAGGGTTTGACCAAGGACAGCACCACAGCGTGATCGGAAATATCGCCCTAGACAGCGAGGAGGAACCACGGCGGGGTGCGTCAAGGGCCAATAGTGTTCGGTTTGATGAAAGCGCAATACATGGATATTATGGCCAGGTCAATCGCTCGACAAGTGAACTTCCTATTCGCACGGGCAGCGGCATGAGTAGCCATGCTTTGACTGAGCGGTCTCTCTCCCATCGGTCTGATGGCCGGCAGAGCTCCTCCGGACACTCCCACCATTCAGCTCGGACTAGTAGCATGGGCATCGATGCTGCACGACTAGTCAGTCCAGGTGGTGGATCACCCGCAAGTGCGACAATGCCACCTCCGGGGTTGTTCCTTTTGGGGCCTGTCCCTTGCATCATACGGTGTTGGCTCACGACTACCTTCTCCAATGAGTCTTTGCTTTACGCGGCCATTTGCTCTGGCTCCTACGCATCCTCTGTTGGCTATAGCTTGATCGAGAAGCTCGGATACGAAGATCAAGTTACTGTTGAAGATGGCTCGCGCTCCATTAAACTTCCTCTATATCTACCAGAAGCCAGCATCCATCAATCTTCCTCCCGCGCTGGTAGTCCCACACCTCAGCTTCCTGCTGTGACCGTGCGCTTCGCAGTGCGCGACGTTTGCCCAAATGATAAGAGCATACAAATCCTAATTGGAAGCGACGTTCTCCGATCTCACAATGCAGATATTCTCTTCTCACAGGACAAAGTCATTATGGTTGACGATGATAGAAATAAAGTTTCCGTTCCTCTTGTGCGGCCTGAAAATGATGCAGTGTTTAAATACCTCCAGACTGCCTCGGATGCGTCGCAGAGAGGCTGTTCGAAGCCACATCACGATACCGAACTACGAAGCATCGCCAGCAACCGTGACCATAGTTTGATTGAACGACCAATCTCAAGACCGCAGGAGACCGGCTCAATTGCTTCCTCGAAGGTGGAAGAACCCGAAGACCGCGATCGTGAGGAACGCCCTACGACAAGGGATGGCGGTCAATCTGAAGCTGACACACACGCCACGAGAGAGAGCAGTGTGCCAGTTGAACAGGAGGCCTACCCCGGTCTCTCGGCGAAAACAGAGCCTGCTGGACCGTGGGGCTCATGGCGTCGTGCAGACGGCAATGCTATTGGAATGGCGAAATCGACACGCGGACGAGCGATGAAGGTGCTTCGACCGTCGAAATCATTATCCTCCCGGGTCCCCTCAGCTGCATCTACTACCAGCGAACAACATCATAATCATAGTCATACTACCCACACCCATAGCCATAGCCATACACCAGTTGCGACACCATTAAGTGACGGTCATCCGCCAGACCTGGTACATCCGACTCCGAGCCGATTCAAGTCTGGCGATGGCAGCAAGATCCGGGCCAGCAATCCGATCGGAGGCGCGTCGGCATTTGGCTGGCTCAATTCTTCGTAGTTTTAGCCTCATAAGCAAGCAGTTCATCTTCTTTCGCGATTTGAACGTAGCTGAGCGGTACCCTTGACATTGCCATGGTGTATTTTACATTTACATTCACAATGAAAAAGTACAGTCTTACAATTTGCTATCTGCCTGTCGTTCCCCGCATGGACTTACCCCAAACTCCGCCCTGCCCCGCATCTTGCCCGCATCTCCCTTGAACAACTTCAACTTCCAACTTCATTTGCACTACGTAGTCCGCTATCAACCATCCTCAAACAAAGTCTGCTATCAACAAGAGACTACTTACCAGCATGGCCGGTCTGGCTGCAAGAGCAAGCCGTATCAGTAAGTGGCAGTCATACTATTGCAACCTGTCGACACTAATGGCATAACCTAGATAGCCCAGTACTATTGTATGCTCTTCTTACTCGGGATACACACTGTGCAATGAATTGCTAATGATGTTATCGGCAGTATATGCGACATTCAAGAAAAGTTCCGCGAACACATCTATGAGTTTTCGAAAGTGTACGCCAATCTCCTAGATTTCAAGAGAAATTGACTCAATCTGTCGAACAGAGTATCCACCTCTCAAAAACTACTCCGAGCAAGCACCGCCCTGAACATCCCCGTCTATGTCACGACGCAGAACAAAGCACGACTGGGCGACACAGTGCCTGAGCTACTGAAATATCTCCCCTCCGACTCCAGCGCTGGCAACACGCTCCTAGGCAACGTCGACAAAATGGCCTTTAGCATGTACACACCGGACATACTCACTCGTCTGCAACAACAAAACACGCAAAAAGACATCAAAACGATAGACGCCATCCTCACCGGCATCGAGACGCACATCTGCGTCACCCAGACAACCCTCGACCTCCTCTCCGCCGGGCACAGAGTATACATAATCGCCGATGGCGTGAGTAGTGTCAACGCCGAAGAAAGAGGCATTGCGCTCAACCGGTTGCGCGACGCAGGCGCTATCGTGACTACGAGCGAGAGCGTCGTTTTTGAGGTTTTGAGGGATGCTGGCGCAAATCCGGCCTTTAAGGGGGTGAATGCTTTGATCAAGGAGACTAAGGAGGATACGAGGGAGGCTGTGCGGGTGCTTTGTAAATATTGATTGTTCAGCCATGCTAGCTATCTATCTAAGCGCATATATATATATATATATATCCATTTATTCGTTCTTCGTATTCATAGAGCAATATGCTCAATCTTGGCTCTGCCCTCAAACCACGTGTGCTCACCCTGCGACGCCTTTTGCACTATAGAATAAATCTCGTCGAGGAAAGCAGGCAGAAACGTGCCGGGTCCTTGCACTGTGTCCTTGGCTGCAGCATTCTCAGCTGCGATTTCGTACATCAGCAGTCCTGCGAGAACGGCAAGTAACTTGTCGTCCCGGAAAGCTGCTAGGTAGGCACCGCAGATAGTGCCGACTGCGCAGCCGGTCTATGGGTAAATGTTAGTGGCTTTGTCTGATTGTTGAGAATTGGGAATGGGATAATAAGCGAAACTGGGAAGGCTTACCCCCGTCGCTCGACTGAGAAGTTCGTGGCCATTTTTCACGGCGATGACCCGGTTGCCATCGCTCAGGTAGTCGGTGGACCCTGTAAGGAGGACGACGTTTCCTATCCATCGAGTCAATATCAGCGTCGTGTCCACTGAAGTCCCCTACTACCCCCCCCCAAAAAACAAAGAAATGAACATACGCTCTCTACGGGCCAAGTCTCGTGCCAATATAGCCTTCCCCCTATCGTCCAACGTACTCGGTCCACTATCCACGCCGCGCTGTGTGCCCTGCTCGTTGGTCGTATTTCCATAGACTTCCTTAATCTCTCGCTCGTTGCCCTTGATAAGGTCAAAATATCCACCTGCCATTAGAGTCTTGACTGCTCCGCGACGAATCGCAGTAGCACCGGCACCCACAGGATCGAGCACGACAGGGTTCCCGTTGCTGTTGTATGCTTTGATTGCTTTGAGATACTCGGTTACGCTGGCGCTTGTTAGAGTGCCCATGTTGATGACTAGACCACCGCCGTGGACCGCAAGGTCTTTAGCTTCGTCGCCGTATTGAGACATTATAGGGGATACGCCTCTGGGATTATGATGGTTAGCTAACTGTAATTAAGCACCAGAAGAGACGATAGAACATACGCTGCAATAGCCACATTGGCGACGAAATTCGCAACCACGAAATTGATCATGCTGTGCACAATTGGGTGAGCAGTCACGACCTGCTGCACGACGCCTGGCACATCGGTAGCAAGTTCGCTTTCGCGAGGAGAGGATAACTGCCTTGTAGCAAATGGCGGCGGGACAGCCATGATCTTTTTGATTTCCTCAGCTGCAGACTTCGGGTCATCGGCAGCCATGATTGCGCTGACCACAGCTACTCCATCGAGTTGCTTTCCGGATTGTCCGGCAGACTGGTACAGCACGCGCTGTACATTGGACAAGTTTATACCGCCGATTGCCACGGTGCTGACGGATCGGTCGAGGCGGCTCAGACTGTCGAGAATGATCTTTGCTCCTGCTGTGCCGATTATGGATTTGGTGTTTGTCTTGCTGTACTTCCTCAGTCTGTATTCTTTCTTCGATGAAAATAATGAGGTATACTCACGTCGGCGTGGCAAATATCGTGCCGATACCCAGGTAGTCAGCCCCCTCTTCGACAGCCTTCACAGCGTCTTCAACACAGGATGCGCTAATTCCAACAATGGCATCCTTGGGAAGTATCTTCTTCGCAGCAAGGATTTCTCGTAAAATCAGTACATACGTCTCCTAATTCGACTGGGTTTGGTCGTACTCATATCATCCTGTCCCAAATGAACACCCTCCGCCCCAGACGCTATCGCAACGTCGACGCGGTCATTGATGATAAGCGGGACATTATATCTCCTTGTGATTTCGTGAAGCTTCTTGGCTGTCTTCACAAGGTCGCCCGTGTCACTTTTCTTGTCTCTGTATTGGACAACCGTGACTCCTGTAGCAATGGTCAGCGGACTCCAACTCAGTTATTCTTTGGGGTGAGCCGGCACAGTACGTACCGCCCTTTAAAGCTTCTTCGACCACTTTGCAGATATCGTGGCCCCTGAGAATCGCAGGTGTGGAGTCTGTCACCAAATACAGACTGAGATCGAGTGCCATGCTGCCGTGCAATGATGGAGTTGGTCAGTCTGTCTATGCATGATGGATGATGTCCTTGCAGTACATGTAGCCGCAGGTGGGGAACCCACAATCTGATTATATAACGCTGTCAACCAAACATAACAAAACTGGATTTACCAACATGACTTCTTCGAGGCTTCCACTAGCGAAAACATATTCAGAATCTTCGTCATGGTAAGGTTGTTGCATAACCTCTTTACCTGTCAAGAGACGGAGAGCCATGGTTCAGAGTCACGACGCATATGTGAAGCAAGGAATTGTCCGTTAACAACGCTGGGGGAAGGCGCCAAGTCTTCCAGCAATAGTTTGTTCCTATTCATCATACTCTCTTGAAAGGAGTCCTCATCTGCTTTGTACTTTGTATCTCTCCCTGTCATGACAGGCTGGTTTGATACCTGATGGCTTGAGCAGACCATCCATTTTGAAAACCCCTCAAGTTCGTGGAAGATAATCCGGAAGCTACAGGAGCATGAATCACGCTTTTCATGGGATGTATACGTGTCGTCAGGCCTCTGCTCGGAATCATGCTGTGTCTTTGCTTATGAGGAAACCGGAAGCCTAACCCAGGCCTTCATGGAAATTCGAATGCAGTACGCCTTGTTATGAATGAATACCGTACATCGGTTTGACATACGACACAGAATACCCAATAGTAGTACTGAAGATCAACCTAGCTCCCGGCAACCGTTTACTCAACCGCCCGAGAAAGAAGCTTGTGGTCGAAGCTTGCAAGAGGTGAAAGCACTCAAATCCCTATCTATGGCGGGATGTTCATGCACTCCAAAGTACATCACCTCAAAGCATGAGAACCAAAAGCCTGATGGTTGGGTTCCTGGCGGGTTTCTGGACTATATCGTGATGGAGAGACTTGAAGGACAAACCCTTTCCGAGAATTATCTCCTGGACCTAAACCCCGAGGGAAAACGAAAGCTACGAAGCGCGTTTAGGACATCATCCTTGTGAGTGTATCATATACTATCATTTGGCTGAGATCTTAGCTTACATCCCTTTTTAGAGAATGTCAAGTGGTTGGCCTTGTGAACCTGGGTAACAATATCACAAATCTTATTTGGAACGAGGAGAAGAGGAAATGGTGAACCACTCTTTATTTGACAGTTCACGAAGCTTACACTTGTTTGTTATTATAGCTATATTATTCACTGGGAAGCATGGAGTCGAAAGACCTATCAGTGGAATGACAACGAATATCGTTGGTGGGGTCTGCAAGACTAACTATGAAATGTGCTTGATCTGCGAATGATGTTTTTTATTTTATTTCTTTTCCCCCCTTTGGTGGATTCCGTGATGATCTACATAAATTGTAGGATCGAAAATATCACCACAAACATATTTCACCTTAGATTCTGACCCCAGCACGACGAAGATGAGCATTCAGAGGCAGCGATCCCTGAGCATGTGCCCCTCATTCTCTTTCTCGATGCTCTTGACAGAAGGCTGATGGTCTAACACTGCCTCTAGTATGGAGTGCGTACTATAAAAATTTTCTGCCGGCTTTCCCGGGCCGTAAAATACGACATACCTCGAATGCGGTAGTTTTTGGACGTAATTACGGCGATTTACGCAAATTAATGTATTAGCGATACACAATTACATACGTGTGTGAATTCCGGCCGCTGATTGGCCCCGACCTTAAGCCGACGCCCACTGCCGACGCCGTTGTTGCCTTTTTTGCCTTGGCCCGTCCTGCCTATTTCTGCTCCTTACAAATGCCTTCATTTCTCTCTCTTCTTTCACTCCTCACACAATCTGTCTGCTCCATCAAAATATTATCAACGACCACCAACACTTCGCCTCCAAAAAGTGCGTATCCAGCCAGAAGAGCTTTACTCACCCGACTTCCAGCATCTCAGATTATTCTTTCTAACTCAACCCGTGGCGCCACCATTCTGACTTCCTCACAGAACTGCAAGCAACTTAGCTCCTCTACGCGAAAACAATAACCACCCGCTGGTTTTGTTTGTGACTTGTATCCATCCTGTCTAGGTATCTTCCGCCAGCGAACAAGATTCAGTTCGAGGTCGAGGGTCTGTTCATGTATTCGCCCTACGTCAACGCTTTCGAACACCATTTGCCGCTTAAGCTGCATACTTTTCGCTACGTGCGAAAACCGTGTAGTATACACTCGAGGTCTTGCGGTTGAAACCTGCTGGATTTCGTCTCCGTTGTGATAGTGGATCGGAAAACATCCATACTACTGTCCCCTCCCCTTTGCAAAGAAATTCTAGGTAAAGATATACCGCATGTATCTTTGCCACCTGAGAACCTTTGTTGAGTCTTCTGTCGTTCGCCTTTTGCACAAGCCGCCCATTCTAGCTTCTTGAAAACCATAAAACAACAAAACAACAAAAAATCCCCAAACAACAACGTTTCGAATTCGGCATCATGGCTACCGTCAACGTTCGTCGCGATGTCACCGACCCTTTCTACCGCTACAAGATGGAGAAACTCCAGTCCAAGATCGAGGGTAAGGGCAATGGTATCAAAACTGTTGTCGTTAACCTGAACACTGTTGCTCAATCTTTGGCTCGTCCGCCCGAATATGTGATCAAATACTTTGGGTTCGAGTTGGGAGCTCAGGCCAACGCCAAGCCCACTGACGATCGCTGGATCATCAACGGCGCTCACGATGCGCCCAAGCTCCAGGACTACCTTGACGGTTTCATTGACAAGTTCGTTCTCTGCAAGAAATGCAAGAATCCCGAGACCGATGTTATTCTCAAGGACAACCGCATCGTTCTGGACTGTAAGGCCTGCGGTCAGCGCTCTGACGTCGATCCTCGCCTCAAGTTAAGCACCTTCATCTTGAGAAAAACTCCAGGAAAGGCAGGCAAGAAGGACAAAAAGTCTCGCCGTGACAAGAAGAAGGAAAAGGGAGAAGCGAATGGGGACAAGCATGGCAGTCCAGGAGACAGCAATGGCTCTGAAAATGGCGACGAGAACGGCGACGGAGAGCTCGCAGCTAATAGTGACGATGAATTCACCCGTGGCATCAACGCCGCCGCCAAGGAAATCAACGAAGAGGAGGACGAAGAAGAGGTGAAATGGTCCGTCGACGTTTCCGAGGAAGCTGTCAAAGCCCGTGCCAAGGATCTTCCTGACGACCTCAAGCGCACCTTGGTCTTAGAAGGTGCTGAAGACGATGAGGAAGAAGGTGGTGCCAGCATCTACGACCAACTGGGAAGCTGGATCATCAAAGAAGCCGAAGACAAGGGCGGTGTCGCAAATGTCAGCGATGTCGAAATTTACAAGAAGGCCAAGGAGCTCGGCATTGAGGGCAAGCACAAGACTTTGACTGTGCTTGCGCAAACCATCTTCGATGAGAAGATCGTCAAGCAAATCCCAGCTCGTGCTTCCATGTTGGAGAAGCTGATCACTTCTGAACGTCACGAGAAGGCATTCCTCGGTGGTACCGAGCGTTTCGTCGGTAAAGATCACCCGGAGCTCATTCCCCAAGTCCCTGCTATACTTCTTGGGTACTACCAGAACGACCTTGTGTCGGAGGACGTGCTCAAGGCTTGGGGCAGCAAGGCTAGCAAGAAGTACGTCGACCCTTCGACCAGCAGAAAGGTCCGCAAAGCTGCCGAAAAGTTCCTCGAGTGGCTCGAGAACGCCGACAGCGATGAGAGTGAGGAAGAAGAGGACGAGGAGTAGACGAGACAGGCCACACTTCTTTGTACTCTGTCTGAAAACGATTTCTAATCTGTTCCTGTTGTCGTGATTGATTTGTCGGTTGATTGATATTGCTACATCTCCTGTTCAGTTCGAGTTGAATTGCCAAGTTTATAAAAGACAAAAAAAATGGCTCAGCTATCTAAATAATCAATTAAAGGAAAGCTCCACTCATTTGACATTGTTTTTAATTGCAATGCAGTACTATATCGGCCAGAAGGCAATCCCACAAAATATCCTACAACCTGAATGAATATATTGCGTATACATCATTCTATATCAACTCAGTAGATGCAAATCCCCATGCCCTGTTATGATTACCACCATTATTATTAAACCTCTGTAATTTCTCTGGTAACCGCCATCGATCACCACTTGTATTCGTCGTATCAATTAAACCCTGCCAGAAAATGAACCATGTCAAATCCTTATTCCATGCTTCCATGGCTCGTAATGCATTATGAACGAGTTTCACATCATCACTGTTTTCTGCAGTTTCTTCATCGCGAAGTTGTTGTTGATGATGATGATAGTATTTCGAGCCCATGAATTTCGTTATCCAGGACCCGATGAATTCGCAGATTTCGTCTCCAACTGCCAATGGGAGGCGGACGTGACTGAGTACCTTCACGAAGAGAGTGAGGAAAGATCGCCAGATGATATGATGTTGTGTAAAGGAGCGGGAGGTGGTACTGGATAGTGTTAGGTCTAGGTGTTGCGACGAAGAAGAGGAAGAATGGTTGGTCGGATTCTGCTGTGCTCTCTTTTCACTCCATTGTCGTCGTTCAAGGTTTCTCTCTGCATCTATGAGCACTTTGTTCCAGTTATCCTTGTATAGTCGTCGCCAGCGTGGGTATTCGGCTTCGACACGAGATGCCATGAAGTCTCCGGCCAGTTCACACATGCTCGCTACAGCGTTGCAGGCGGCGTCTGTGACGAAGGTTTCTTCTTTAATTGCTATGTCGCTTTCACTGGAAGATTTATTGGTGGTGATTTGTCGTGAGACGAGATCTGTCGAAGTTGAAGCGGAAGAAGAAGGGGGACCGCCGATTGTTGTGAGGCGTACAGAGGCTGCGGTTGATGGAGGCGCAATTCGCGAGCTGACTGGCGGCCAAAGTTCGTTGATGAGAGGCAGAAAACTAGTTTGATTCCTCGACAAGACTGGAAGCGCCTGGCTGAGAAGGGAGAGGAGTGAGCGTCGTAGAAATGGCGACGGCGAGGAAAGATGTGGAGGAATGGACTTGACGATTTGTAATAGTAGATTGTGCGGTTTGCTAAGCGGCTTTTCGGCGTCTTCTGGATCTTTGGGTGGAGGAAGAGGTTCGTTGGACTCGTCTATCGGGTGGAGAATGTTTTCGCTGAAATCCTGATCTTGGTCATCGTCATCGTTCTCTTCCTTAGGAAGTGGAGGAGGTCCATCCAATTCACGCGTCCACGGACGTTTCGGAAATGATATATGTCCTTTATCTATATCGGCATCAAGCTCTTCAATGCGTGCCCGTTTTGTTTTCCTACGAGCGATATCGTCCACTATTTTTGCAACAGGCAATGGCTCGTATGCCTGTTTGCGATTGCTCAAATCATATTTTTGTGTATCCTCAGAGATGGCGAGCAGAGCAGGTGCCTTGGTGCCTTCTTCGACAATTGCAGCCAGACTTGAGTAGAGCAACTCAACTAGCTTAGGATAGCCATGATACATATCAATGATACCAAATATGGAAGCCACAAGGTCGTCAAGATACGGAATGAGACCAGCCCCGGAGAGCTTGACCATCATTAATAGTACCTGTGGGGGATAAGGCGACACGTCAAATGTATTTAATTTGAGTGCAACGGCATTCACAAGATAGTCGACATTCTCGATCAGCATGGTGCGTGTATCGGGATAGTTGCAAGAATGTGTGATGATGTTTAAACACGCCATAGCATGGTTCTGTAGGTTAGCGTTGTTTGAGGCAAGGAATTGTAAGACAGGATACAGGGCATCGATCAACTCTGGTCGAAAATCCTCCCCTAGCTCCTTCGCTTGAAGAGCAACGGCTTCCAATCCGAGTGCAGATACTCTCCAATCCGTTGGCTCTGTCTTTGGTGGTTCATTAAGTATTGGAAGTGCAACAGAGTATAATTCCTCGATCATGGTCGTCCGGGATGACAACGATGTTGAAGTATCGAATGAAAGAAATTCGTCAATACTGTTCGATCCTTGCGACCGGAGGAATTGCAATGCAAGCCAAAATGGTGCAATCATGGTGTCTCCAGAAGCTTGGTGGAGATTGTTCATAATGAATCTTGTGATAGTTTCACTTGATTGTGTGCGGTTGAGCCTCGTCACCATAGATTTCAGGTCTGTTAGTGTCCGCTGCTGGCTGCGATGTTCGAGAATTACCGGGGGAAATGATTGCGAGGCGGCTGGTCTTTCCATGACAGCAAGCTCCATATTGCCCAAGTTAGAAGAGTCGACAAGGATGGGTCCAGACTTCGACGTTAAAACGACTGCTGTGACACTGTCACAAAGTCCTAGCGCGACACTGCTCTCTAGTATATGCGAGCTGGACTGCACCTGAGAAAGTAATTGAAAGGAGGTCGTGATTTGTTTTATAGCTCGTTGCTTTGCAGCTTCATCGTTACTTTGCATAACTCTCTGGAACGATGTCGTCCACGTATGAAGTAAGTCTTTAAGTGTATCGACAGTTTGACTATGTACGGTAGCGAGATGCAGTAGGGAGGTATAAGCATCATTTTGAACATTGCTATCGTCAACCTCTGAGAGAACCACCATTGTCTCCACTGCGAGAGACAAGGAGTCCTTTAAAGATTTAGGGCAATCCTCTACTATCATCAAACAAAGATCGAGAAGAGCTCCGCGCACTGTTTGTCGTTCATGTTGCCTGATTTGAACCACGTTTGCAAGAGCAAGTTTGATCTGAACGGTCGTTGCTTTTAACCATGATTCGTCAAGTACGGCTCTGTCACCTGGAGACTTTTCAGAGGGTCCTTGATGTTCAGCGTAGACAACCTTATCATTGAGGACATCCCGTAAGATACTTCGTAGTAAGCGAAGAGATCCCTCCAGGACTTTGAAATTCCTGCGGGTCTTCGTAGTCGGTTTAATGATCTTTGTCAAGGCCGACACAACACGAGGCATTATACTTCCCAGAATAATCCTATCAGTGACTCGGCTGAAAAGGGCTTGGAGTGCGGATATGGCTGCTTTTTGCACTGCATTAGAAGCACCCTCTGTGATGCCTTCCAAAAGCAGATAGACCGTCTGATCGATGATAGTCGCAGATCCAATCTCGTTGAATATAGTCTTTTCGGCAACCGGCCCTTGGAGCATTTGAAAAATCGAGTCCATACAAATAAAGCTTGCGACAGAAAGCTCTTCCGATTCAGGTTTCAAGACGGCTTGTCCTCGATTCTGAACTGGTGTTCCCCCGACAAGGATGGTTAGGAGAATCAGCAGCTGCTTGCCCATCTCCGGGGCCAGCCGAAATCGCCATCCCTTCGCAACAAGCACTGTAACGCATTTTACTGCAACTTCTAAACATCGCTGGGAGAGGGCTTGGGTCTGATTGAACACTTGGGACAAGGGAAAGAAGACGTATTCGGCAAGTTTTGCATCAAGCGAGTTCTCGTTGCCCAAAGGCTCAAGCACGGAATACAGATCGTCCAGTGCGCTTTGGACAGCGCTAGGCTGATTCTGACGTGTGCGAAACTGGAGAGCTGCAGAGCTGAGCTCAACGCATGCGGGGCGAAGCTTGAAGACGATTAATCGAATTAGACATACTTCATGGTGGAAGGGAGCGGTACGGACAAACCTTCCGGAACGCTTCTTGTCTCTGGGCCTCCATTTGATGGTCGCTTATGCATCTATACAAGCAGAAACCGAGCAATCGACCGCATTTCAAGCCATCTGCGACTAGTTACAAAGTCGCAGCTTCCCAAACACTCCACGATTGTTCGCCGCATTTTCTGCCGGCATTTCTAAGCGGTCTGCCACAGCTGCTGACCGCCTTCTCCAGAACGATCTCATAAGGGCTCTGCCTCTCTGCGTCTTTTAACGAAGGTCTGTAGATTTTCGTTCAAAATTCAGTCGTCTGGTTGGTTTCTTGTCTTTTGTACACGGACCCGTAATTTCATGCATATGTTCGGTGCAAATATTGACCCCCATGCTGATTGTCCAAGAAACGCTCACGTGACGCCATGTGGTAGGTAGACTACTTAACGCGTCAACTTACACGCGTTTCGCGGCCGCATGAGGGATACTTCTGCTTCGACTTCAAGGACATTCCGAGCCATCACGTTGCCAAAAGGACATTGTTCGTACTCTCATTTACAGGCTATTAGCCGATATTACATGCAATCTTTGCGCTCAGCCGCTCTGCATTGCCTCGCGCCTGTTCCGAAGGAATACCGATTACTTCCCAGCAGCCAACGCCACCTCACCAACGTATCCAGTCACATCCATGCCACGAAAAGAGTGAACTTGTTAGCAACAACTACTTTACAGTCGCTTCTGCTTCACAGAGCTGCAAGTATGCCGGAAAAGACTGGCTCAAGGCAAGCTACGCTGGGGTACGTGAAAGATCCTCAAGCGACGATTTGGTGCGTCGGTTGTATAGCTACCATGCAACAGGTTACAATTATAGTAGAGGTATTCAAAGACTGACTCGTGCTAACCAATTGCTGTTGTCAATAGGAAGTTTTTTGGATCAGACTCTAGACAAAGCTCCAAAGATGCCTCGAAGCGCCAAACTACTTTGTCTTTTTCGGACGGGAACAAAAGAAAAGACGCAACTGCAGGCGAAAAATCCACTGTTGAGTCCGAAGAGAGCGAGCTTAATGGGGACACTGAACTCAAGGATGAAACGACACCGTCTACGAGAGGTGTGAAGCGAGAGCAGACTGTGAAAGAAGAGGAGAGCGACGATTCCGACGTCCAGCCAGCCAACAAAAGACGAAAGAAGAGCCCCAAGAGCCCAGGACGCAAGAAAACGGCCAAGGAGGTAATGACTGAGCGTCTCCCGTCACCCAAAGTGGTGAAAAAGGCCTCCGGTGATGTGACTCCTGTGGAGGAAGATGCGGATGAGCCAGCGGAAGACCCATCTGCTAGTGAAGAAGAAGATGATGCGAAGCCAGAAATAAAAAAAAAGCAGATTGAGAAAGTGCAGGCAACTCTGAAGAGCAGCGGTAATGACCCATACCCTGACTGGAAGCCAGGGGAACCTGTTCCGTATGCTGCTCTCTGCACCACATTTTCTCTTATTGAGATGACCACCAAGCGCCTTATAATTCTAGCCCACGCGTCCATTTTCTTGCGCCAAGTCCTACGACTTACTCCGGAGGACCTATTGCCGACCGTTCAATTAATGATCAACAAATTGGCAGCTGACTACGCTGGTATTGAACTAGGCATTGGAGAGTCTTTGATTATGAAGGCCATTGGAGAAACCACTGGACGAAGCTTGTCTGTCATCAAATCGGACCAACATGAAATTGGCGATTTAGGCCTAGTTGCCGCAAAGAGTAGATTGAACCAGCCTACCATGTTCAAACCAAAGCCATTGACAGTCAGAGGAGTACACCAAGGTCTGCTCACAATTGCCAAAGTTCAAGGCCATGGCTCCCAGGACAAAAAGATATCTGGTATTAAGAAGCTTCTGTCTGCAGCTGACTCTGCCACTGCTGGTAAAGGTACTAAGGGAATTGACATAAAGAAAGACAAGGGAGGGCCTAGTGAAGCAAAGTTTCTCATCAGGTTCCTTGAAGGAAAACTGAGACTCGGACTGGCCGAGAAGACAGTCCTTGTGGCTCTCGCACAAGCCGCTGTTGCTCATGAAGCAGCTCTCAAAGGCGGAAAATCTCCAAGTCCTGAGCGTCTGGCGGAAGGAGAGTCCGTGCTAAAGCAGGTCTACAGTGAACTTCCCTCTTACGAAGTTATCATTCCAGCTATGTTGAAAAACGGGATCTTCAATCTCTCGGATGTTTGCAAGTTGCAGCCTGGAATCCCGCTGAAACCCATGTTAGCCAAACCTACAAAATCTATTACCGAAGTCTTGGACAGATTCGAAGGCAAGGAGTTTACCTGTGAATACAAATATGACGGCGAACGAGCTCAAATCCACTATGTCTCTCCAGACTCGATTCATCAATATCCTAATGCAACGGCAACACTCCAGAAGGATGCCAAGGGCCTCAGTTCTATATTCTCGCGAAACTCGGAAGACTTATCGAAGAAATATCCTGATATTCTAGCAAAGTTAAATACCTGGATTAAGCCAGGTGTTACCAGCTTTGTTCTTGACTGCGAAACAGTTGCCTGGGACATGGAAAACAAAAAAGTGCTCCCATTTCAACAGCTGATGACTCGTAAGCGAAAGGATGTGAAGGCAGAGGATGTTAAAGTCAAAGTCTGTGTTTTTGCATTTGATCTTTTGTTCTTAAATGGCGAACCAACGGTGAAGAAATCTCTCCGTGAGCGTCGCCAGCTTCTTCACGAGTCGTTCCAGCTTGTCGAGGGCGAGTTCGCCTTCGCCCAGCATTCAAACACCAACGAACTGGAAGAGATTCAGAGCTTGCTAGAAGAGAGTGTGAAGGCATCATGCGAGGGGTTGATGGTCAAAATGCTTGATACTGAGGAAAGTGGTTACGAACCTAGCAAACGAAGCCGGAATTGGCTTAAGGTAAGCCATTGCTCCTTTTCCTTTTCCTCTTTTTCACTTCTCTAACGATAAACTATACAGGTCAAAAAAGATTATCTTTCCGGTCTTGGAGACTCGCTTGATCTCGTAGTTCTGGGCGCTTACTTCGGTCGAGGGAAGCGAACGTCAGTCTACGGAGCTTTCCTACTAGCAGCGTACAACGCTAGCAACCAAACATTTGAAACGATCTGTAACATCGGCACAGGCTTCTCCGAAGCTCTACTCGAAGAGCTCCACAAAGAACTTTCCCCTCTCGCTATCGACCGCCCCAAGCCATTCTACGAGCACTCCAATGTCCCCAAGGACCAACCTGACGTCTGGTTCGAACCGCGCCTAGTCTGGGAAGTAAAAGCCGCGGATCTAACCCTGAGTCCGCGCTACAAGGCCGCCGCAGCTGAAGTTGTTGGCACAATCGGTAGTGGTGACGGAAAAGGTATCTCGCTGCGTTTCCCACGCTACATTAAACCGCGTGACGATAAAAAGCCCGAGGAGGCGACTACTACTCGGGCTGTTGCGGAAATGTATCGTCGACAGGAAGCTGTCGCCAAAGAGAGTGCTGGAAAAGGCGGAGTCGATGACGATTTTGAGTATTGAGTTTTTACTTGCCTTGTCAATTGTTGTTGTTGGATGGGCGTTGGGTCTATAAATACGGCGGCGTTTTGATTCATAATCTTTCTTGTAGCAGTCAGCAGTCACAGTTGTACATAACTACCATTCTGAATTGCTAGAATCATGGTGAAATAGGTATTCATTTCGTACTGCAAACGCAGAAATAAAAGGGTAGAAAAATAATTAAAATCACTCCATAACCAGCGCCATTGCCTAAAACATACCGTAGTCCTATGCCTGTTTCTTTTTCTTGGTCATGAGCAAACACCGCACTATCCAATGTCCATCCACCCATATACATAAAAATGATTGAATAGAGAGAGAAAAAAAAAAAAAGAAAAGAAAAGAAAAGAAAAAAAAGGAACGAAAGCCAGCGGAAATAGAATAAATATATTATTCTTCATACTTCCTCTTCACGCCGGTCCCATTCGAAATTCCCGCCGTGGGAGCAGGTGGTGGCGGTCTCACCGAAGCTTGACGTTTTTTCCAAGCGGCCTTAATGGCCGGCGCTGCACGAATGAGATCGTCTTCAGTGACCCGATCCTGGATCGACTCGAGGACCTTCTCAACCGTCGAGATATGATTCGCATCTTTCTTATCTTCACGGAAACGCATGTAGCGCCATCGTCCATGGTCGTCTTGGTAACATTCAACTATTATATCGTCTAGCGGCATCTGTAGAGCCTTCAATCCTTCCCATTCCGATGGCGTAACGTACATTTCGCTAAAGAAGCGATATTCATTGTTATTATGGAGTATGAAGAGGTGGAAAATCGGCATGGCGTCGTAATCATAGTACGGCTCAACAACGCCGTCTGCCTCGTCATCAGTGTCCGGCTCGAGGAGGGGGAATTCGAGTCGCATTCGGAAATCAATGGTATTTTCCGATGGCGGTTTCCATTTCAGGATATGCTCGTCTGTGCCGATCTTGTAAGGGGTGCTGCGGCAGGTGAAAATGAGGCCGTCGTTGCCGTGGATTTTCTTGACTTTGGGGATGATTTCGCGGAACATCATCTCGATGCCGTAGCTGAATTGGGTGGACTTGTCTTCCACGGCAAAGATGCGATGCTGTTTCTCCTCTGGGAATTTTTTGTACATGGCGTTGTATGGTTTGAGGACATTTTCTTTGAAATAGGCTAGTCGCTTGTCGAGCGTGCGATGCATGAGACTCTTCCCATCAAGCACCATGCAATCAAAGACTAGGTACTTCAACTGCGTCGTCCCATCGTCGTAACTATCCTTCACCAATTCCCCGTCCACCAGCGTGTCGACATGGTAAGATTGGAACGTAGAATCATTCGGCAACGGGAAATGCAACCGTGGGACATAGCGATAATCGTTCTTGCGATCAATCAAATAATGAACTTCTGGTGAATCAGGGTCGCCTTCCGCAAAGTACATCAAACAGCGAATCCCATCGGTCTTTTCGCAGACAAAGTAGTCCTCCTTTTGCAGCTCGAGCAGGTGTTTGGCTGAGAACGACACGGGTTGCGCGCCTGGGAAGTTGAGGTTCTTGCGACCTAGTAGCTCTGCGACTTCGTGTCGGAATTTGTCTGCGAGCTCGGGTTCGGCTTTGATCCCTATTTCGTCGAGGTCGGGGACGGTGTGGCTCATGTTTTGCTTTACTCTTATTTGTATATTAATTATATCTGGAGGTATCTCGTATGAGCGTGAGAAGACATCGGTAAGACGTCCTTCAGTGAAGCAAGCCAGCAGTCTGCAGCCACCGCGAGTGAGAACGAAGAGGTAGGGTAACGATCGAAATAAATTTTAAGAGAGAGAATAAGTTTTAAACTGATAGTGAGAAAAGTAGGCAATTGCGCTGGTGCGGAAATGGGTGAGCAAAAACAACCTGTGAAGTGCTCTTGAAGAGCTGAGGTTTGAGCTTCCTCGTTGTTGCCTCAGGCAGAAATCCGTGAGGCGGAGATTTAACTATCCAATAAATCCAATCCTACGGACAATTCAAAAGGCGCCATCTACAGCAAATGTGACAATTGGATTCTGAGCTACAGATAATAACAAAAATAAAATAAAAAAAGGCATCAGTGCGTATATAAGGGTATCATATGTCCGTACTTCTCTCAAACCAGAAAACACCACGCGGTCCGCAACGCCGTCATGATGTCCCATAGATCAACAGTGCAATAAATCATAAAAGACAATGAGAAGAAATGAAATAACAACAGCTAGAATGAAGCTGCTACTGCTGTCTTGGGCGCAGTGGCTACACTCGCAGGGCGATTTACAGGCGTCGTTTGAGAGGGCGGTTGTTGCTTCGACACCGTATCCCCCCCTCCAGACGTGTCCTGTAGGCTAGACGATGATGTTGCAGCAATAGCTGGACTCTCTGTTGGAAAGAACCCATTGGATTCTCCGTTCACCGCTGGGCCCGTAGAAAACAGGCCCCCTCGAGCACCGCCGAGTACGCTCGAAAGCATCTCTTTCATGCGAACGTAATGATACTTTTTCCGCGTCGGCATTAGCGTATGGACAGCCAGTGGTGTTGGGCGAGATCTGGAAATAGCAGCCATGACAGAATCGCGCTCTTCGTCTGAATCAACGGGTCCGTTGGTGTCAAAATCGTCCTGTAGAGGCGCATTGGCATCGATTGCGGCTTCTATAGAACCCAGTAAGTAACGTGTCAGAATACAACAAATTGGAATAAGAATAGGGAATCTGACTTTGTTGACGGGCTTGGTTTTTCTTCTGATAAGCTTGTAAGAGCATATCGTATGGAAGCGATCGCCCAGGGACTGCACGCTTCGCACCCATAGAATGACTCTTGCAAGTAAGCGACCTCGCACACTGAGCACCGTTGGGCAGCGGTACACCGCACTGCTTTTCGACATCGACGGGGCCTTTTGGCTTGGGAACCTTTGGCTTTGGTTCTTCCTTCTTCTTTTTCTTCTTCGGTTCTTTCCCATCCTTCTCATCCTCGCCATCAGCCTTTCGCTTCTTGCCTTTCTTCGTTGCATCGTCCGCCATGCCCTTCACGGCACCTTTCTTGGCCGTCTTTTGCCCATTCACGCCATCATCATCCTTGTCATCGTCTTTCTCTTCGCCGTCCTTGTCGGCAAATTTGGCTTGATTCTTCAGATCACGAGCCTCTTTCTTTTTGCGCGCTTTCTCTTGTTTCGCTTTCAGACAACCCCGGATGTGTTCGACGGCAGTCTGTTTCAACTGCGGCCTTTTGCAGTGTTTGCAAATGACGGTCTCGAGCTCATCGTCTCGCGGCTTTCCGGACGGGAATGCGGCGATCGTTTTGGCGTCTATTTGCGGGAGGACGGGCGAGCTGATATCGGGTGACCCAGGGGCGTCGACATCGTTTGCTAAACGCGGACGGCAAGAAATATATCAGCGTTTTTTATTTATTTTTTTTTAATAGAAAAAAAAAATGCCGACAACAAGGAAAAGGTGTAGCCTAAATTGATTCAACATATGTAGAAAGGTCGTCCGTACCTGGCTTGCTGCCGGACTTGGCGCCCTTTCCGGAGGACGCCTGCTTCTTCAGCTTGATCTTGCCTGGCTTGAGGTCCTTTTCGGAGAACTTGTATCCCGACGCGTCAACAAGGCTGCTCGTGCCTGAAGATACTAGAATCACAGGGGCACGGAGTAAGCAAAATCATCCCCCTGTAGTCAATTTAGCTTTCTGGCGATTCAACGAACCTTGTCCGGTCGCCATGGTCTCTGAAGAACGAGGCAAAGAGGAAAGAACAGCAATGGAAAAAAAAAGGAAAGAAAGAAAAAGGAAAACGAAATGCAAAGGAGTCAGCACCAGTGCTTGGGTCTCCTTGGGGCAGTCCGAACAGCTAAGAGAAAGATGTCTATAGATGTAACTATGGCTTGATAAGTTGATTAATCGATATGCCGGAGAAAGCGGAGCTGCGATAGCCGCTTTCGTGTTGTGTCACGTGATTATATGGCAAGTATACATCAGTGTAGAGATGTGTCTGTATAGATAAATATTCAAGGTAGAGTGATCTAGTACGATTTATTAAAAATGTAAGGTTTTGCATCTGGAAGCTCGAGTTCTCGGCACCCTTTCGAACGAATGTTATAAAGGACTTGCTTCCTAGGGGCCGGAAGGTAAATGTCTGGTTGGATAGGATGATGTGGTCTTTATCTGACCACGTCTAGTCTATTGTACAAGAGGATAATGTTACACAACTATTTATACCGTACAAAGCAGAGAGTGCTATTAGTCCCTCCAAAGCCAAAGCTGTTCGTCAGGACAGTATCGATTTTCCGTTCCTGTGCCGAATTGGCAGCGTAGTTGCAGTTGAAGTCGGGCGTTCTATTCTCCAAGTTGATGGTGGGCGGCATAATGTTCTATGTCCAAGGAGGCATATTGTTAGTCTGTGAAAAGAACTAATGCTAGTTTTAAAGAGGTCATACCTCATGTATCGCCAACACGGAGAAGATAGCCTCAATAGCTCCAGCGGCGCCTAGTAAATGCCCGATAGCACCCTTGGTACTGCTGACATTGATGTCGGCAGGTTTCTGTTTGCTCTCGCCATCGGCACCATGAAGTAGCAGAGCCTTGATGGCAGCGTTTTCAGCAGCGTCGCCAACTACTGTAGACGTAGCATGGGCATTGATGTAGTCGATGGCTGCTGGTGGAATTTTAGCGTGCATGAGCGCCTTGCGCATGGCTTTCAGAGCGCCTGCGCCGTTCTCCTTTGGTGCTGTTAAATGGAATGCGTCGCCTGATGTGCCGTACCCTATGAACTCGGCGTATATATGGGCACCTCGTGCTTTGGCATGCTCGAGTTCCTTTTGATTTGTTAGGGGAAAAAAAAGCTACTATGAAATAATTCCAAGGAAATAAGAAGCTTACTTCAAGAACCAGTACAGCAGCGCCTTCGCCAACGACGAACCCCTGCCGGTCCGCATCGAACGGCCGCGATGCCTTGGTCGGGTTATCATTGAAGCCCGTCGAAAGGCTTCTCGCTCGCGCAAAGCCTCCTAGTGCCAAAGGATGGATGCAAGACTCGGCGCCACCGGTGACCATGACATCTGCATCGCCAAAGGCAATGAAACGGGCAGCGTCTCCAATCGAGTGTGCACCGGTAGTACATGCAGTAGTTACAGCATGATTGGGGCCCTACGAGTTTGAACAATGAGCAGAAGATAGAAAGGATAATGGAGAGAAAAAGACTTACCATAAACCCATACTTCATGGAAATGTGTCCTGCCCCTAAATTAATCAGCAACTTTGGGACAAACAGAGGCGAGATTTTTTTATATCCCTTGGATAGAAAAGGCATTATTAGCTTGGGAAATTACAAGCGAGATACAGTCACTCTTACATTCTGCTCAAAAGCCACGACAGTACCATAGACCTCGTCAAAATTGCCTATGCCGGACCCTAAGCAAACCCCCTGTGGAAAACACAGAATGCCGCAATTAGTTACAAAAGAAAGGGCAAAAAAAAAAAAAAAAAAAA